TTGCCCAGCAGCGCTCGCTGAGGAAGATACCAGTGTTACCAATTCTCGCTTCGTTCCCAGGCCACTGTTTATTATCCAGAACGAGCTGTGCCTTCTCGCGATCACTTCCGACTACGCCAGGATCGGCGTCGGTCAGTCCCAAAAATTCGCCGAATGGAAGGAACACACTGAAATCCGCTGTTCGAAGTCGTTGGCTGATTTCTGGTATTCCAAACATCTGAACCTGCTGACGCACACACTTGCTGTCAAATTGATTGGCGATCCGCCTATCATTTGGCTTCAAGCAGAACACGAAGTAGTTGTTGACGTTCGGCGCGGTCAGGGACTTGGTGATGTTGTCTAAAGATGATAGAAATTGTGCTGCTGCACCCTGAGTCAGCCCTGTCGCGGAAGGTTTTGTCTTTCTCGTTCTGGATTCCTCCGGAGCATTTGTCGATTCCACATCTTCTTGTACGGCAGGCGAGCGGTCTGCTCTTCGACTCCCCATCCGACGCAGTTGGTCATGCTTCTTTCGGGAGAGGCTGGGCATGCGCAACGGTTTCGAGCTGACCTGGGCCTGAACAATAGCCGTCTTCTCTGAGGGATGGCTGATGGTGTTCAAGGCCTCCTGGCCGAACAAGCTAGCCACAAAGTCACTCTTGGTAGCTCTGACCATGTTCATCAAGTCTCCGGAGACCACATCACCGTTTTCTTCGACCAATCGATTGACTGGATAATCCACCTCACCGGCATAGTGACGGACGGTGAACGATGCCGCAAGGTTTGTCGTGGCGAAATTGCTTCCAGGCAAGGTGGTAGTCGCGCTGCTCACGGTAATTGCTTTGTTCTTGTTCTCGAATCGCTTTCGAATACTATCCAAGAATTGAGTATCCGTACGACCACGACGCGTTTGATCATCGAGAATGGCAAGCAATCCGTTACCATGCTTGAGGAGACCACGAACAGCGTCTGAATTATCGAAGTAACTAGTTGCGGGCACGCTGACTTCTTCGCTTTCCAGCATCTCGGCTGTCTTTTCGAAGAAGCCGTGGAGGCAAGTATTGTACAGAGACTCATTTGCAACGTTGTTCAGCAATTGATCCAGAACGGATCCGGTGGAAGAATGATCCGCAAAACCCGGGAAGTCGACAATAGAAACGGTGTTGGCAACGGCGTCCTCCGCAGCACAGATCCTTTGGTTGATGCTTTCAATGATGTATGCAACCAGAAGCGAGTACAGTGTCGTTGCAAGTTCATCTGCGTTTTCTCGAGCGCCCTTGGGATCTAGCATGACCGTGACACGCTCTCGGTGGAGTGTCTTTGTCTTGTGCCTCATACTTTCTTCGAGATCCTGCACGCTCAATCCCAGGAAGGCGGCAACTAGAGCCAAAGTGTCGGTGTTCTTGACCACCGTGACTGTCTCGCCACCTTCGTGAGAGTATCCGCCACTCTCTTCAGCCGCAGTCAGTGTGGCCTGGCCGGTGCCAAATTCGAGTTGGCCAATGTGGAGAATAGCAGCAAGAACTTGACATATTTCGGCGATTTCGGCTCTGGGGAATTCAAGCTTTCGCAAAGCCGTCTTGAAATGCTGGAAGCCTTCCGCATCGTTGATGCCCACCTTCATCTGCGTCGGATGACCGAGGTATCTCCATCGTTTCTGTGCTACGGAGGCAGACCTCGTGAGGCCAGTGCCGGACGTCGCAATGTTTGTGTGTCCGTTGAGGCCGAGATGAGACTTTTCCGCCGCGCTTGTTCCCGCCAGGAGATAGTAAAGAACATGGAAGCTCCTTTCACCGGTCGGTACATGTGAAATTCGACTCCTTTCCAGGCGATGGTCCAACAATTTGCCTCCAATAAGGGTCGGGATCGAGGATGAAGCATCATATTGGAGTTCATAGAATAATCCGGCTTTCGATGCCGTTTGGGTGGTGGTAGTTTTGGTCGTCGTCAAGGTATCAAAAACGAAGGCAGCTAAGGACAATTTGGATGATAATGGTGTGGACGAAAACGAGAGGAACGAGGAAAGCAGGTGTGACCTGACTGTCGTTTTGCCTGAGCCGGACTCTCCACTGTCGCACAGTTAGCGGCAGGTCAATAATATACTGACGTTCAGCAGACATACAAGAAGACAATAGCCTGATCTTCTGCTCTATTTCCCAATCTTGCCCATGCCCTTCGGGCTAGATCCTCGGCCTCGCCCATGGCACTTCCCTCCTTTTCACCATTCGGTCCCCTGGTTGACGAGGTGTAGGTATTGAGGCATATCAAAGCCTGGGAGGAGAGCTTTGCTGTCGGGAGAGAGACATGGAACCGGCTTGCCAGATGGGCCGTCAGATGGGTATCTGATTGCAAGTGAGGAGGAAGTGCAGGCAATGAAGCCTGCAAGTGAGCAGGAACATTGCCGCGAGCAGCCATTCTGATTGAGATGGATTGGACGCGTCAAAATATCTCCAAAGACGACCACGAGTCGGCTCACACGCCGTGCCAATGGTCCAATTCCTCAATTCATCGGACGTACTTGCGCGGTTGGGCAATTGTTGACTCGGGACAAGGAGGCTTTTCGATTTTGCAACAGCGAGCGTCAGAGGCAATGAGCGTCAATATGGGCCGGTATAACCAAATATGTAGAGCGAGAGAAATATGTCGAGAGATCGTCAGATCGTACCACAGATTGCAATTGAAAGAACCAACATGCAAAATCAAAGGAAACTGAGATGATCGAACAGCGAGAGCAACAAAGTGGCTTCGCGCAGCCAGGGGGGGTTCATCGGCCTGGGAGACCATTACTGTGGTATTTGGTGGACAGAACGACTCGGGCGGAGTTTGTACTTGTCATTACAAATGAAACAATTGGAACTACTAGCATGCACCCACTTTTGGCTTTTTCAGTGTCTGAGATCTCACCAGCTGGGCAGTTCGCGAAAGACTGCACCGCCGCCGACTCTCCCATTTTCTACTACCGCACCGGTGCGAGCACTCCCGTCCTATCGTTGTGGATGTCGATCTGGCCATATCATTCTCTGATGCTGACGGGTAAGAAACCTAGTATAGAGGACCAAGTCCCAAGTATAGGAGTGGTGATTACAGTTTTGTCAGTCGGTCACTTCACCTGCGAATCTGCTTAATCTCCTGCACACCCTACCGAGCTACCTACCTACCTAGTTATCTCCATGGCCACACTGGCCTTTCCTCTCCGGAGTCTTTTGACGCCGGAATGGTCATCTGTCGGAGTTGCTGCACAGCGGCTGAAAAGAGCATGGGACCATACTGTGTAGGTATACAGAGTGGTGGAGAATATCCTTTGCTCAGCAACTACGTGGATCTGCACTTGTCACCGTCCAATAATATCAGAGATGGAAAGCATACTCTGTACATGCGCCCAGTATGCGGCCAGCACCAAAGACACTACAGGTCCAGCAGGGCCTTCCGGGTTCGGCAGTGGACTTTTGGATCTCCGACGGAACGCAATATACGGAGGTCCTTACTTACGTACCTAGTGCCGTCGCTGCTGTCAAGATGACCCAGTACACGGCCAAAGAGACACAAGGGCTAGAAAGGAGGCCTCCGCTATTTAAAAATTTCATAGGGGGTTGGTTCTTTCGTTGTCGGCGATGCTCCCTGTTCTTCCTGCCTCTCCACACCAAATTCCCCAGCTGAGGGAACACCACAAGCGAAGAGGCTTTTCCAACACCTCATCCTTTAAGTTCTCTGAGTATTCTTTGGTGATAAGCGAGTGACCACATCTTCGGAATCGCAATGCCAGAGAGGCTGACCACGGACGCACACACGCAATCCGGTCGCCGATAAGACCAACTGAGACAATGCGGGTGGATATGCAGCATGCAGACTGCGAGTGAGCGAGACGGGGCACAACGACGCAGAGGGCGTGCCACATGCTGACTGGGCGACAATCACGTGACTGCGACGGGGCTTGGGCGTGCGCTGGTTTGAGGCGAAAACCACCTTGTGCAGGCTGAACACCACACAGTGGGCAATGAGTGGGAACAAACTGAAACTAGGACGAGAGGGGATTTCTCTGTCTTTTTCATCAAACCAGTTATCGCGTGCCCAGTGCGTTTCCCATGTTTCATTCCCAAAATGCAGACTGGTGACATGTTCATCAACACCTCGTCCGTTTGCCGACGACCCGTCATGGCATGTCCTACGTAAGTGTCTTGAAGCCATCAGACTCTTGACGCGGGCTTCACATGCGGCTTTGTTGACTTTTTCCCCAGTCCGTTGCCCTGGACCACAGTGGCTGTTGGTGTGATTGGCTTGGACCAGATTGACGGGCGGTTTAACTTCCCGGAATCCCCTGCAGCAAACCGAAGGTTCTAGGTGGGTTTAGGCCTAGAGCATCATAATGCCAGCAAAGGTCCGGGGCTCAAGCGTCCGGAAATGGGCGCCGAGACCAAGGTGGCGCTGCAGATTGGCTGCTATTCTTGACCCAGCGTGACCATGGCTGCGGATCGAGGAGAAGCTGGGCAGGGCAAGGGTTGGGGGGCGGTTATTCTGTTGTCAGGCACCCGTATCGGTAACGGTCAATACACTCAAGGTCGTTGTTATACCCTCGTCCCAAAACACGGTTGCAGGCACTCCGCCATGTTCGGGCCCTTTTCATGACCCTGCTGGCTACGACAACCTGGACAACCTCCTGCTCCCTCTTCGCTCACCCTCTGCACCTTCATTGACATCGAAAAATCGCTCTCGCTTACTTTGTTCAATCTATTCGCTCCAGCTTTCACCAGCATCTGTCAGTCAATCACTTTGGAATTTTCTCCCACTCTTTTTGGTGTTTGAAATGCTGCATTGATAATTTGACACGGATCGCTCCTGTTGGATCCCTTTGTTCAACCGTCCACCACGTTGGCCTCGTTCACCCGCCTGGACGGACGGAATAAATCTGCAAGGAGGCTTTTCACATACGGGCGGCGGCGCTTCACACATTAATCAATACTTCGAAAGGTTGACGGAGGCCCCGTCGAGCAAAGGGGTCGACAGGGGCCCAAGTTCGCCTCGACATGGCCAACCGCTACTCGACATACTCGAACAACTCTTCGCAAGTTGGTGCAGCCCGAACAGCTGCTCAACAGCCTACCCAAGTCTCGACCACTACTCTCCTCAACTCCCTACACACAATCTATGCCTCCGGCCAAACGTACCAACTCGACTCGAGCACGAGCATTGCGGTCAACACGTGGCTGACTGCGCTCAATCCTGATGTCCAAGGACGAGTGGGGGGTACTGTCGATGCAGATATTGCCTCAAGAGCTTGGGAACATGCCAGACGGAGAGCTGAGGATGGATGCATCATTCTGGGGTCACTGCACCCTTCAACACCCTCGCTATTCCAGGCATTTCTGCAAGTCGTTCCACTGTCCACTCCAGAGATCGCATTCACTGCTCTGTCGGCCTTGCGTCCTTTCCTCTCTTGTGTCACGCCTCTCAACCCTACAACCTATAGACATTCCTCTCTTGCTGCCAAATACACCGTCACCCTAACCGGCACAGTCACCGGATTTACGCTTGCCTTGTCTGGCTCCGGGATTGACGTCGAAAGGGGCCTTCTGAAGATTCCATCGGAACCTGGTCATCGTGCCTTTGACGTCTTCTACTACCTCCTGACATCGGCATCCACACCTGCTGAACGCGAGTTCCTGGGTCTGCAACATCCATCCAAATACACCCTGTTGAACAGATCTGGATCCTATGATCCGCCAACCTACCTCCCAACGGCCGATGACGCAGCAGCCGCTGAAGACTTCCGCTCAGCCTTGAAGTCGATTGGAATCAAAGGCGCGGCTTTCCGTGGGCTATTATCATGCCTTGCTGGATTGCTAAAGCTGGGCGAGACGACTGGATTTCTGGTTGACTCTGACGTCCTCGAAGAAATATGCGAGGACGTAGGTGGTCTGATTGGCCTAGAGCCCGAGGTCCTCGTCAAGAAGTGCTCTACAGATGATCGTGAAGTACTGATTGCAGGCATGTACGAAGCCCTGGTGGACTGGGTCCTTGGAAAGGCCAATGATGCCATCGCCGCCGAGTTACGCTCCGGAGCTCTCACACCCGACTCCAGTACTCAGACAGGTGATGAGGTCAGCCTCACAGTCATTGAAATCCCTGGCGAGCCCCTCGGAAAGGCTGTGGCCTTGCGAAATGTTTTCGACGATACCCAAGGTATTAACGCCGAAATGAAAGACGATGGTGTCGAGGTTATGTCTGCCGGCCACTCTGTTCTCAAGGAAATGAACTCTGCCGTTGCGGAAGTGGAAGCGGACCTGGGTATCAAAGGAGGACCGCTCAGTCGGGAGAGAGAGCACGACCGGGATCGAAGAGAGGGCATTCTTGAAAGGATCGGCGCCGAGGCCGAGGCCGGAGGCTTTCTTCGCACTTTACTTTACCCCGTCGACGGCGAGGGCTTGAATTTTGGCCGAAAAGGCCGTTTTGAGCTGGGGGCTACTCTTGCCAGCAGCAGAGCGTGGTATCAGCTCTCTGTCCATCCCACTGATGATGCGCCGAGTGCTTTGGCTGCCTTGGTCTCGACAACGTCCGCATGGTCTGCGGGAGCGGTATCAAGACAATTACGAGCATGGAGACTTCCTGAATGGGCCAACCATCGCAACCGGCGACTCGACTTCACGGCCGATTTTGATGTCGAAGAATTCGTGACAAGGTATTCCAGACTCGGCTGCAAGGATGGCAAGGATGGAATAGAAAGCTTCTTGCTCGAAAGAGGTTGGACAAATGGAGAAGTCATCATTGGACGAGAACGAGTCTGGATGCGTGAAAGTGCCTGGTGGGAAGCTGAGTCTATGCTTGACATGAAACCAATAGAGGGTGGCTATTCTGACGACCCTGCCTTTGGCCAGCCACTCAATCCCTTTGCATCCAGTCATTCTGTCCATGCTCCTCACAACAGCAGTGGCTTCTTCCCGCCCATGGGTGATAATATGAGTGTCCAAGATAGTCGAGAAAACCTGCTTGCTCAGGCTGGCACAGAACGGGCCAAGTCGGTTGCACCTACAATGGCACGTACGATGCATACAGTTGGTGGTGACTACGGCCTTGGGCCGAAGGGTGATGATCACAAAGACGCCGTCTATGACCCAGACCTTGGGCAGTATGTTGGTGGGTTGGATCCGGAGCTTGCCGATCCGAGAAACGTGGAGTCTAAAAAGACTTCGGCTGGCAGACAAGCTTGGGTGTCTCTCGTGTGGGCGCTCACCTGGTGGATACCCTCTATCTTCTTACGTTATATTGGTCGCATGAAGCGTCCCGACGTGCGCATGGCTTGGCGAGAGAAGGTGGTGTTGGTCTTTCTCATTTTCCTCCTGAACGCCTTCATCGTCTTTTACATCATCGAGTTTGGAAGGCTTCTGTGCCCGAACTTTGACAAGGCCTGGAATGCAAAAGAAGTCGGCTTCCACACAGGTGAAAATGACTATTATGTCAGCGTTCGAGGCAAAGTCTACGACATGACGAAGTTCTACCGTATACAGCACAGCGACACGGCCATCCAAACGAACGCGCAGAATATGCTTCCACTGGCTGGGATGAATCTTGACGCATACTTTCCACCTCCCTTGAGTCGCGCTTGTCCAGGTCTGAATGTCGACGAGAGTGTGGTGTTGCAACACAATGATACCAGCGCTGTTCTGTATCCAAATGCTGTCCACACCTCTGGTCATCGTTATCAACCAGACCAACAATCAAAGTTGTATAGCTGGGATTGGTACAGTGACACATTCCTGCCCAAGATGAACGAATATTACAAAGGAGATCTCGTGGTGTCAAAGGGCAGCATCAAGAGTCAAGCTGAAAATGACCAGAGGCAGTGGGTGATCATCAACCAGAGAATATACGACCTCACCGACTATTTCTACACCTTGAACGTCATGAACAATTTCGTTACCTACAAGTTCTTTCCTGAGGAGGTGACGGACCTTATCAACGGCAACCCAGGCTCAGATATCACGAGCCAATGGGGAACAGATGCGGCCTTCGCAAACAGTCTGAACTGCATGAATAATGCGTTCTACGTTGGCAAAGTCGACTTCCGAGACTCCGCAAAATGTCAAGTCAACAACTACCTTCTCTTGGCTTTTGCCTTGGTTTTGTGTGCTGTCATCTTAGTCAAGTTTTTGGCAGCACTACAGCTTGGGTCGAAGCGCCGACCGGCAGCACAGGATAAGTTTGTCATCTGCCAGGTCCCAGCCTATACTGAAGGTGAAGACCATCTGAGAAAATCTCTCGATTCTCTCACAGCTCTCCAGTATGACAATAAGAGAAAGCTGATCTGTGTCATTTGTGACGGCATGATTGTGGGAGGTGGCAACGACAGGCCTACTCCCAAAATTGTACTGGACGTACTTGGTGTGGATCCAAAGATTGATCCACCAGCTCTGCCCTTCAGGTCCATCGGCAATGGCAATGAGCAACTCAATTACGGCAAAGTGTACTCCGGACTCTACGAATATGAGGGCAACGTTGTCCCCTATATTGTCATTGTCAAGGTTGGAAAGGAATCGGAACAAACAAAGTCGAAGCCCGGAAATCGCGGGAAACGAGATTCACAAATCTTGTTGATGCAGTTCTTGAACCGCGTCCATCACCGATCGCCCATGTCCCCTCTCGAGTTGGAAATCTTCCACCAAATCAACAATGTCATTGGTGTCGACCCTGAACTGTACGAGTATGTTCTCATGGTCGACGCAGATACTATGGTCAAAGAAGATTCGCTCAATCGCCTGGTCGCTGCATGCGCCAACGATGCTAAGATTGCAGGCATCTGTGGCGAGACAAGCTTGGAGAACGAAGAGCGAAGCTTGTGGACTATGATCCAAGTCTACGAATACTACATCTCGCATCATCTTGCCAAAGCTTTCGAATCTTTGTTCGGCAGCGTTACTTGTTTACCCGGATGGTATGTGTTGTGGTTATTTTTGCCCCCTTTTGCTCACCATAGCTAATGCTGTTGGCAGTTTCTGCATGTATCGTCTCCGGACCGCTGACAAGGGGCGGCCTTTGATCATCTCGGACAAGGTCATCCAGGAGTATTCGGACTGCGATGTTGATACTCTCCACAAGAAGAACTTGTTGTCTTTGGGCGAGGATCGATACCTTACGACGTTGATGACGAAGCACTTCCCTTCGATGTCCTACAAGTTTGTCCCGGATGCCTATGCTCTCACTGCGGCGCCCGAATCCTGGTCCGTCTTGCTTTCGCAGAGAAGACGATGGATTAACTCGACCATTCACAACCTGGCCGAACTCGTCTTCTTGAAAGATCTTTGTGGCTTTTGCTGCTTTTCGATGAGATTTATCGTTTTCATTGATTTGTTTGGTACCTTGATCCTTCCGGCAACATGCGCCTATCTCGGCTACTTGATTTACAGGGTCGCTTCCCATACCGGCCAATTCCCATTGATCTCACTCGTGATGATCGCTGCAGTATACGGCTTACAGGCTGTCATCTTTATCATCAAACGACAATGGCAGCACGTGGGTTGGATGATCATTTACATATGCGCGTATCCCATATACAGCTTCGTCCTACCAATCTACTCGTTCTGGAATCAAGACAACTTTTCATGGGGCAACACGAGAATCGTCATTGGAGAGAAAGGTGACAAAAAGGTCGTTGCCATTCAGGACGAGGGCTTCGATCCCCGATCGATCCCTCTTCAAAGGTGGGACGACTATGCCGCGGCCAACAACTTGCCAGGTCGTCGTGGCAATTCTGGCGGCTATCCGGAGAAGGGGTTTGAGTATGGCTACACCGATGACGCCGCAATGATGGAAATGGACGACATGCAGTCAAATTACTCCTCCGTGAAACCAGCCAGCACGATCCTGGCGGGCTTCCCTCATCAATCGGCGCCATATATGGCACCACCTCGATCAATGACGCCGTTTAACGGGATGAACAATAACCGCGCCAGCACCATGACTGGCCTCACACAGTTCAAGGATCAACCCCTCAGTTTGCACGGACGGAACATGAGTATGTTGAGCCTAGGCAGCCAAGCGCGGTTGAAGTCCCCCTCCCCGGTACCATACCAGGATAACTCGCGGAGTCGCAGCCCGTACCAGGGAGGCATGCAACACTCGGCCAGTAAACCCAGCCTATTAGGCATGGGCGTCACGGGTAGTCGGCCGGCATCCACCGTGATGGATTTCCGCACCGTTCCTTCGGCTGGGCCAAGTGATCATGACATTGTCGAGGCAATTCGCGCGGTGTTGGCTGAGGTGGATCTCGACAAGGTCACCAAGAAGCAAGTCAGAGCACTGGTAGAGCAGAGGCTGCAGTGTGAAGTACCTGCGGGGGAGAGGCGAACATTTTTGGACAAAGCCATTGATGGCGAACTGGCCAATATGTAAATGAGTGTGAGTGCATCGTACCCATGGGGCGTGGCGGCGGCAAACTTGTTGACGTACCTCTCGCAAAGAGATGGAGCAAAAGAAAACCGGATACAATGGGTCCTGTGTATGTATGTACGTACATGTTGTATCTTGGGACGAGATGATGAAATCACCAAAAATTCCTGGGTTCAAAAGGAGGCGGAGGGCAGGGGAAAAGGGGGGGGGAAACTTAACTGACATTACTTGGTCATTAATGGTACAATACATAGCAAGGGAAGGGAAGCGCTTTGCTTTGACATTCTACACAACCCTAGGAATCTCCTGGATATGTATGGGATGGGCATAGGGATATTAGAAACCGGAACGGCGCCGGGAGCGAGAGCGAGCACTTTTGTTTCTGCTTTGGATGGATCTACATCTGCATCTGCCTCTACATCCGCGTATACTATAGCATAGCATAGCACACTTATACCATGCCATGTTATATTATCATGGTGTACGCTTTAATAATCTCGTCTACATACATACATGGCACCTATCCGCGTATCTAGTTCAACATCGAGCATCGAGCATCTACAGCCAACAAACACATAAAAAGAGACAAACGGCATATGCAAATGTGTAGTGTATTATTGGTATAAGGTCTTTGTTTTAGGGAATGTATATACAATTTTGGCGCCTCCCTCTGGTAGCCTCCCAACTGTCGTCTCAAGCCCATATTCCCGGGCACCTCATCGATTTTGATAAAGGCGACCTATTAGTAATTCAAGGGGCCAGACTCAGAAATGCTGTCCTTCCCTCCTCCGGGCAGTTGCAGTCCCATATCTATTTTCCATTCCATTTCCCGTTCCGACGTCGAAGTGAACCAAAGTGACTGGGGTATCTCAAAACAAGTCAAGGAGAGTCTCGAAGGTCCAAATGCCTGAGCCAAGAATCAAACGAATGTATGCCTCCAACTTTTGACATCAAAAAGCCCTCAGCTCCGGCTGCTCCAGAGCCGACTGAGACGCGAGGGCCAGAGAAATGAACAAGAATCTTCTGGTAAGGGCATCGACAAAACAAAGGAAATTGCTATAACTGCGTGCGTGCTCTGTTTCCCACCTCAGAAAGCAACCCCCACCCCTGGACTTCTCAAGGGGCCACCAATTTCCTTGATGATCATCTCGTCAGCATCCCTGATGATCTCCGCATAGCAAGGCGGCACATCAGGGACACCGCTGACAATGGGTCTCAAGCCTCCACCTCCCTTGGAGACGCTCTTAACCGTGCCACTTCGACTTTGCCAATCCCCGGCTGTGGTGGTGATGACGCTTGTCGCGTCCGTCTGGCTTTGGTTGCCATAGGAGAGAATGTCAGTGTCAACGGTGCTAGCAACGGTTGATTCAGTCATCGTCCTGTGGTGTTGGCGTGGCCAGAGATTCAACGGTTTGGGTGGTGCTGCTGCCGGAGCGGAGAGTTGGTAGAATTGAGTACGCTTGCGGCGGTGTTCTGCGAACGAGGACGACGTTGACGATGATTTGGTGGTGCTGATTGAGGAAGAATGACTGCGGTGGGCGAGCCACTGAGAGATTCGTTTTTGTGTCTGATAGTTGGGATGGAAGTAGCCCGAAGGCGAGTTCATATCCGCTGGCTTGGAGAAATTCCTTGCAGGTGCTGGAGGTACAGTTGGCGGCGGTGCTGGAGCTTCTGGAGGTACACGGTCATGTTGCTCTGCTGATGTTCCGACAACTCGGGGGAAGCCGAGCACCGTATCGCCGATAGTGACCGATGTGACTGGAGGGCTGAACTCCTCTTGCATTGGGGTCAAGACGGCCACAGATGCTTCTGAACGAACGACGGGAAAGTGGATTTGTGGAGGTAGACCGGGGAAAGACGACCATGAAACAGGATGAGAGTGCAGAGCTTCATACTCGGAAGGCGGTCGAGACATGGATATGACAGTCGAGGAGGTGTCGGGCCGTACATGGGACATCCGGCGCTGTTCAATCATTGAAGCAGGCTTTACAGGAGCAGGCAGGAGCGAAACCTTGTGCGGAACGAACTCCTCGGACTTTGTTCGCACCAATGCTCGAGGGGGGATCTTGATTTCACCACCGTCTGTAAAACTCAACCTATCAAAGGCTGGCAGGTCTGATAGTCGATTGTTAGGCATATAGATGCTGAGCTCGAGCGGGCGGAACTCCAGTGCGGCTCGTCGAAGAGGAAGCTGTGGCGCCAAAGGCAGTGACGGCTGAGGGCCAGAGATGACGGGTTTGGAAGTCTGTCTCCGCATTGACAGGCTCGATCTGAGGGACGATTTGCCCTGGGAAACCCATTGCGACAACTGTGAAGGGAGCGGTGGTGGAGGAGTTGGAGGAAGTCCATCAAACACGGTGAGCTTCATGGGCGGGACCAGGTGAGGCTGTTGATACATGATGCGCATTTCTCTCTCAATGCCTGTGGACATGTCAATAGACTCTTCTCGCCTTCGTATTGGGAGAGTACCACAAACCAGTCGGAGGCGGTTGTCTCTCCAACTCCTTCTCACCGTTTCTCGCGAAGAGACAATCGAAGAACTCGAAATGGCAGGTTGGCTCCAGCGAGTCCTCTGAGGCGGCCTTCGACCTCATATCGGCGAGATGATGAAGACGAAGTCTCAACACGCGGTGTTACGAGGGGTCGCTGCACGATTAGACTTGACAATTAAGGGAGAAGTTGACGATGCCAGCATCAGTGATGAACAGAAACCAAAAACCACAGGTAAGGGCAGAGACGAAAGGGGAGAACAAGGAAGGCGTGATGCTTCCAAAGCTGCAGCTGCAACCCAACAAAACTATCACTCTTCCTTGAGAAAGAGGACGAGAGGCCTGGCCAGAGGAAGAGGCATCTTTGAAGGACATGAAACGCAGCTTTCAACCTTGGGATGCTGTGGGGGAGACGGGACCATGATGGCCGCGAGAACTCCAGTTCCCGCAACACGAGCTTTGGTTTCTCCGGCTCATTTTTTTTTCTCGCTCACCTCTCGTCGCTGTTCGCACGTTGCAGCGGAGCCCGAGAGGGCCCTTCAATCACATTTCTTCGTGGGCGCTTGTCCGCTGGTAGAGAGGAGGTGAAAAGGGGCCTTGCGGCGAGATGAAGCTTGGAGTCGTGGCATTGGCTCTGACTTGGTTGGATGAGAAGATGCCAGCAGAGAGGGTCAGGTCCGGTCAGCAATAATCCGAGAGGCTCCAGAGCTGCTCAAGCGCCCAAGCCATGGCATAGCGGCAGCGAGTGTTGATCAAGGTGAACTCGGGATGCGTGTTGCTATTCGCGGGAGTTGCAAGAAGTGAGGGTCAAGTGAGGTGTGAAGGAAGATGAGGCCGGCGGTTAGCTGCTCACGGTGCAGCCAATCACCACGTGCAGCCCGCCTTCCATGCAATAGAACTTGAACTCGGCTCGTTAGCAAAAGAACAAGATGAAACAATCGCACAATGACAACTGTACACAAACCATGTGGCTTGGTTTCAGAATCGGCTAATTGCTTTGTGGATCGGGATCATGATCATCTTGATGTTTGATGTGCCTCGCCAGCTCGCCTCAGGATGCTTCGTACTGTGGACTAGCATTCAAGAGCCACATGCGCCTCTTGAGCTTCCGCGGTGCAATTTTATACACATACTCCATACCTGTACACATACAGTACACATACAACACATACGTAGCTCCCTCTCTCCACCAGCAATCCCGAACGACCGACAATCCAGGTCCCCGCGTACCACTCCAAGAAATCCCGAAATCTCATCTTCGTCTCGACCTCAATCTCAATCGCAATCTCAATACCTCTCCATCACTCTCTGTCTGCCATCCATTGATCCATCCATGGTGAGTCTCTCCCTGTCTTCAGCATCGACATACCTCCTCTCTGGCTCCATGGGCCGGTATCTGGCTTGTTCTACAGGAACATACTCCGGTAGAACAGCCCGCCGATCGTCCACGAAGACGCTACCTTCGCGACCAACGGGACGCATGCTCTGATTTCGGGTCGCCACTTCCATCGGCTGAGCTTCTTCGTATCGTAATGCTGGTGGTGGCCGAGCGCTTCCCATCCGAACAGGTTCGCGGAACTCGGTCCGCTCATCTGTGTATACCGTCTGTCGCACTGGGCGATCCATCACCTGGACGCTAGAGCTTCGCATTGGGGGCGCTGGATCAAGGTATTCTCGAGCGACCGGGCCCGGCGCAGCCGAACTTCTGGGTGGCTCTGCCAGACGGTGATATGAGACTGGTGGAGGCATTTCGGAAGCATAGGCTCTGTCCGGCGCCGCTTCTACGAAGACTGACCCTGCCCGGGCTTGACGAGGATATTCTTCGTAACGTGGGTCCGCTTCAGCTGCCCGAACTGACATTGCTCGAGGTGCAACAGATGGCCGCTCCTGGATGATTTCGCGGAACCTCCTGCCGTATTGGTCGATGACAATTCGTTCAACGGGAGGGGGTGGCGGTGGTGGTATAGGCTCGACAGCGTAGCGATGATAAGTCCCGTCCCGATCGTCGTAGACTTCGCGATAGACGGGTGCAGGTGTGCGCATCACTCTCATCTCCGGAACAGGCTGGTCGTACTCGACTGGAACCACTCCACGTAGGGGACGAGCTGGTTCCATCATGGCAGGACTTTCCACCCTGGCGTAAGACATGGCTCGTGCACGAGTAGGCGATTCATAGTATTGGTCGACGTATTCGCGAGGCTGCTCTGCTCGCAGACTGTGCATACTTGCCACTCGGCGCAAGTCCTGCTCATCTCTGGCTGGTCTCACACTGGACCTGGACAACGGGCGAGGCTCACTCAAGGGCATCAACTGTTCAACCCGACGCGGAAGTGGTCGCGAGGGAGATTCCACATACCGTTCAGGAGCGGGCATGTAACGTCCTTCTTGGACTGGTTCCTCATCAATGACAATTGGCCGATCCGCTCTGCTGGGGCGGAATCGGCCGGAACCAAGTGGCTGGACATCGTGGAATGGCGGGGGTGAAACGTCTTCTTCCTTTATAAGAGCGTCTGGAGATGTTCCCCCATTTCTTCGGGCTTTGCGGGCATTGCGAGCCTCAATTTTTCTCTTTTTCTTGGGTGGCAATGCTTGGTTATCATCAGGACTTGGGGGAGATCCTGGTCTGCCAATCCATTGTTTCCGGCGCGGACGTGCATTCTGTAAAAGGGGAGAATCCTTAGTTATAGCCAGAGGCGAGACACGGGACGGTTGAGGGCAAATGGGAGAGGTGATATGGTTTCTTACTATCCGCATGTTGGCTTCCGAGGGTGAGACGGGCCTTCCCCCATTGTCTTCCAGTTCCGAGTATCTGCGCAGGGGACGACCGCGTGGGTCTCTACTGTCTTGCATTTCCTGTGCTTGAGTGACCTTGGGTGTGGGATATTGCGCCATGGCTTCTGGGGGCGAATACTCTCCTTCCTCTTCATCCTCCTCAATGTCCATTGCAGAAGTATCGATGGTTCGTGGAGGCTTTGGCGGTTCGATGGCGGTGGGCACAGGTGGCGCGACATCGGCGGAGATACCATCACCAGTGTCGGCGTACAGTGGAGCACCCATAACGGCGCTCACAACGCGTGGGCCTAAAGGCTCGTCGGCCTGCTCCTCATCAGCGTCCTCAGCAGAGTCGCTAGGAGGTCTCTCTGGCGTCGAATCAGGGGCTTTGCTAGAATAATAGGCATCCTCGTCGAAGGAGTCTGTAGCATCGGCATCTTCCTTGGAAGATGGAGATTTGACAGCACCCGTCACTCTGGCAAAAATGGCAGGTAGGTCAAAGTCCGGCTTCGCCTCAGCGGGCGCAGGCTTCTTGCGGGCATCTGCTTTTCTATGTTCAAATTGTTCTCTCAAAGCCCGCTCAAGTCGTTGTCGCTTCAGCTGAGTTTCGGCCCGAACTAGATCATCCGACTTTGTCAAAAGGACAGGGTCAAATTCAGAAACATTACTGGCAGGTTGGCTGGCAGTTGCAACGGGAACACCGTTTGGTCTTGTCTGAGCTTGGGTTGTATCATCTTCACGCTTGGCCTGAACAGCGGCCCCAAGACGATTTGGAGACGCACTCGGAGGGAACGGAGGTACATTCAACTGAGTCTGAGAGATGGTCGATGAGGACTGAGAAGCAGGTACTCGGAGGGCATGGGCTGGCACTGTCAATCTAGGATGACTTCCAGAAAATACCTCGTCGCGAATTCTCAGTATCTTCTCATATTCCAAAGCCTCATTGACGGGTTGCATAGAGGTCGGCAGAACGCCGTTCAATAAGAGGCCAGTAGAAGCGGACATGCCTAGAGGGTGCGCGTCTGAGCTGCGCGTAGCTGAGATGGGTTCTACCTGGACAGACACATAGCAAGAATGAAGGAGCAACAAGTGAGAGAGAAGAGATTATGCTGGCAGACTGGTCAGCAGGGGGAATGAAAAGCCCGGTGAGGAAGCAGAATCACCTCTACCAAGTAGAGGGTGTGATGAGCTGGTAGAAAAAGGAGCGTTTCGCGAGTCTCCAGCCCAGTTTTCAAAAGCGACCCAGCCATCGCCAAGCGCTATATCACGTGCTCTGGATCACATGACCAACACCGATTTTCCTCCAAATTTGCCGCCTGTGATTCAAATCATGTGGAAGTCTTCGATGAGGAGTCATACATTTCATCCATCTCCTCCGTAAATATTTCGACTTCGGTGGCCGAGTGTAACCGATCGCTGTGAAGCAACACTCTCATTATTATTTCAAAGGCTTCGTTTCTGTCTTGATTTCTCACCATATCGACTGTCATTGACACCATCGATCTCCTTATCGTGCAACCAGAACTCATGGGTTCAGTCCAACTCGAGACCGCGGACAAGCGGGCCGTTTTCTTTTTCGACATCGACAATTGTCTATATGCGAAGTCCAGAAAGGTCCATGACCACATGGCCCACCTAATCAACAAATACTTTGTAAAGCATCTCGAAATTTCGGCAGAGGAAGCAACATACTTGCACCAAAAGTACTACAAAGACTACGGCTTGGCCATCGAGGGACTGTCGCGCTTCCATAAGATCGACCCGCTAGATTTTAATCGAGAAGTAGATGATGCGTTACCCCTGGACGAACTTTTGTCGCCGCATCCTGAAACGCGAGAGATGCTGGAGTCATTTGACAGGTCAAAAGTTAAACTATGGTTGTTTACGAACGCGCATATCACTCACGGCATGCGAGTCGTGAAGCTACTTGGCATCGATGATCTCTTCGAGGGAATCACATACTGCGATTATGCTCAGTCACCACTCGTTCCGAAGCCACTCCCAGAGATGTTCTCCAAGGCAGAGCGGGAAGCTGGTGCAACATCGGACACTCCGATTTACTACGTTGACGACTCTTATCTGAACTGCCAAGCAGCGTACGCCCGTGGATGGACCAACACCGTTCATCTCGTTGAGCCGGGCGTGCCCGATCCGCCAGAGAAAGCGAGCAAGTATCAAATCAGCGATCTCTCGCAACTTCTGGATCTATTTCCCGAACTTTTGAAAAACAGTAATGGCTCGGTATGAGTAGATTCAGGACTATGGTACATTTTTAAGATACAATCTTGGTCTCCTATCCCAAGGGTTTCCTCCCTCAGATGATCATACTGAAACCAGGAGGATGCTTGAACGCTAGACATATGCAAAGAGATCCTTCCTCCAAAAAGGCATAATGGTCATCACATCATATCAAAAACAAAAGAAAAGATAAGGCATTTGCCACTCATGCAATGGGCAGCAGACGCCGCTTTCCAGAGAGGTCGCTTGGACAGAATTTCCAAGCTCCGGCATGCTTTTTTGCGTGCCAATTCCTGATCACGGCCTCGATGACCCAAGGGACGTCGGGGAAGCCACACTTCTCTCCGTCAATGGTAAAGGACTTGTCCTGGCACCCCAGTGTCCAGGGCGCGTCAGTGTACAGGCTATTGTCCTTGGTGGCTATGTGCTCCGCGTGCTTCCAGATCTTCATCAGCTCCTTGCCATCTGAAACATGGAGATTGGCAAGGGTAGGGATCTCGTCGTGCAGATGTTGAATAAGGTTGGGCGCAAAGGACTCAATGATGTGGCGAAGAGTGACTCCATTGTACTCAGCTGGCTTGGTGATGAAGACATATTTCTGGAAGACGGTGAGTCCCTCGGCAAATGAGTCGTGGCCCTTCGTGTTCGCTTCCATTGCACCGGGCCGACCCAGCAACTTTTCCATTGTCGGGAACATATAATCGTCCTCGACATGGTGATGGTGATTCAAGGTATTGAAGAGCAGTTGGTTGAACAGAAGGAAATCAGCGGCTTCTTGAGTATCAGGCTGAACCATCACTGCCTGGTTCCACGATGCATTCAAGGCACGAATGATGGTGTTGTGGATCTGGGCCATTTGACGAGCACACCAGAAGGCCGGATGGTCCTTGGGTACGGAAGCAGGAATGTTCTCCAAGTGAGTGGTGGTGATTAGGGGATAATGGTCATCAACGTAACGAGGGACCTGCATGCTGGGCTTTGAGATGACGCTGGTCGACACCGAGGTTTGTGATGCTGTGGACGAAGAGGCGGAGCGGTTTGACCGGACGGAGTTGGAAGAGCGAAGAGATGAAGCTGAGGTCTTTTCCATTCTGGACTCGTAGAGTTGTCGCTCTGGCTCCGATAAATAGAGGAGATGGGAATATCTTGTCTGGGTAGGCGACTTCGATGGAGACTGAGTCGGCAAAGAGGCGGTTTTGGGGATAGGCTCCCGAATGATGGGAACGGTCTGCATGTTGTCGTATTGGAAGTCGTATCGGAATGCTGGCTGCCTTGGTGCCAAGGCTCTCTGCAGATATTTCGTCCTGGTTGGCAAACTCTTTGGTATCCGATGTGAAAAGGCAGTCAGTTGGGCGTGAGAAAGCATATGATTCAGTGAGGGCTCCTGTCTCTTTATGTATCCTGTACCGTGTGATACCCATGTCCATGCAGCAACCGGAAACTAGGATCTTTGAGACTACTCGTTCTGGAAGGGTAGCACGGCTACATCGCGGTAAGAACCCACGTAAGCGATCAAGCATCTCGAACCACGCCAGCAAAAAAATGCGAAGCAGAGCCTAGAGGATGCCACGGCAGGCTGTGTCTGGTCAAGGTGGCACCACTCCAGCCAGGTTGAGAACGTCAAAGCCCCCATTTTCTCCCTGCCGTAATGGATGGTCGCAAAAGGACAAGCCCTATAGCGAGCTGGGCGGAGAGTTAGTAGGCTGACTGGCCCAGCTGATGTCGTGATTAGAATTTCGGAACCCCTTGCATCTCGCATTGGGTTTGGCGCCAGGTACGGTTGCAAGGGCAACTTTCGAATACGGGCTTCGACGCAAGAAGGGCATCCAAGAACTTCCCGGCCACGTCGCTAGGCAGTCCAGGGTACCACGTGGAGCTGTGCATCCCTTCCCAATGCCTCTTGCGATCAGAGAGATCACAGGGGTGTTCAAGTTGAGGTTGATTGTTTGTCCAAGCAGTTTCCCGAAGTTGTACGTCAAAAGCTCATACCTTCTCTCGCTGATACATGCCTTGGTATCTAGGGACATCCCAACAGGGCGGTCGGCGATTAGTTTTCGGTTGCGCGTTTAGAACTTTAGATCGTCCAAATTGCAAGCCACATTGACAATTTGGCTTGATCATGAGACTCCAATAGAGAGGAGATCAGACTGATCAGGCACACCTCGACTAATTCTCCCCAAGTAGGAAAGGTGCGTACAAAATTTGGTGAACCGGGGTCTTGGCCATTGTTCTTTGCAGTGTCCAGTGTATGATCGGGCCATCCGAGGTGCAGAGAGGTGAGAAGTTGTACAAACCAACAGGAGGGTCTTTGTGTCTGCGCCGACTCAGACGGCTTTGGCAAATGTACTGCGTACTTGGTATCTCTCTTGTTTCGAAAGCAGCAGCCATTCCTCCAGGCTGGAGAAATCAACAAGCAGTTCTCCTCTCTTCCGGCAAGGCCGAGCATGCCCTGGCAAACCTTACCTGGTGGGGAGGGGATGTGTGAGGTGGACACTGCTGAGCGGCCACAAGCCTGGTGACCTCCAAGGTCGAATGATTCATCGGATGGCTGGCTGAGTGGTGTCACACAATTGTCCTCCTGAATCAATGGGTCTTCACCTGTTTGTGGATCTAGATTTCCCCTCTCTTGTCTTGCCCTGTCGTGGAGTCTGCCACATGTCGATTCTGGCCCTGAAGACCTTTGGAGGCTCGCATCGAGGTTCGATCGTTCAAGGGAGGTGAAACAAAGCATTATCGCGGCTGCAAATGGATGTTTGGTACCATGTTTCGTAAGCTGACGAAATCACCGGAGTCAGTAAATGAGGTTGAAGGCTCCAATGTGGACCATGTGTTTGCGTGCTCTGGTACCTTGCAGAGGCAGATGGCCTTGAAGCCGACCTTGTTCGAGGAACAGGCAAGGTGCCAAAAACAAGTCCCGGAGGGGGGAGCAGGTTCTCAGAGCTCCCGGGGCCCTACGAGACACACCTGTTACGTAGGCTAGTGGGCCACTACTTCGGCCTGGTGAGCCACCCCATAGGCTGGCGGGCTTACCTACCTTTACTTGGTACAAGGACTTGTGCGTGTACTTGGTCGTAATGCCCAGTAGGGCTTGCTTGGCTTGTCCGAAGACTGTTAAGGTCCCAAACTGACGGCCTAAGTACCCAGTAGATGCCGGCCACCGCCCAACCGCCGTCTGTGGTTTTTGTGGTGCCTGCAGGCACTTTGAATCTTGATGGATCAGCGAGCTCATTCCTTCCCGACGGCAACGGCAGGGACCGCTCTTTGAGATCAGCATCGATCGTCATCCTTCATCAGTCATCAGCGCGCATCTCACTCAGATCAACTCCATCATCTCCGTCATGGATCAAAGATCACTTGTATAGGTACTTCCTCCGTACCTCGTACTCCGTTCCATACTCTGTCCAGAGCCTACACTGGAACCATTGACCACGATCTCCTTTGCGGGTTCCAACGGATGTTCCCCGAAAAGCTTGCCCCCCTTGCCAGGGGGTCACTCTGTTCAGTGCTCAGTGGCCTCAATACGAACTTTTCAAGCCCTCCGAAACCCATTTTGGCCACCCACTGGTGCTAACGCTCCACTGTCGAGCCTCCCCCGCGGAAGTCGATGACGATGCTTCTTCCGATCCCCGCGAAAACAGCCCTATTTGCTAGGGCTCTCTGTCACAATGATCAGGCCTCAGCTGACCCGTCTCCTGAAACAAGAATGACATTGCCTGACGCCGAGAAGACCTAGTTCTAGATCTATAGAAAAGATTCTTCCACGCCGCGGGCCCACGACAATGCTGGCGCACCCTAGCAGGGCCGAAACGAGTTACACTACTCGGTACTGCTGATACTATATCTGGTTCTGTGACATTCATGCCATGTTCGATTCGATGGACAAATGCGACAAGAGACAGACCTAGAACAAAGCACTACAAACCCTAGTCGCTCTAAGGAGTCCAGCCGACCACGACGCTGCAGAGCCACCTAGACGCACGACATCATGGAGACACAGCAGAAATAACGGCCAAGAATTTCTGTGTCAAAATTGAAGCACCCAACCATCGACCTTCCTAATCTGTATATTCTTGTCCCAAGGCGCATGCTGACTAACACGAACCAAGATCATGCACGATTCGATTGGACGATTTGCCCGAGTATCTCAATCAGGAAGGCATTGCCTGAGGATCTCGTATTCCAGCCTTGTCCTGAGAACGCGTCAGATGTCAAGCCGCCACGGTCGCGCAATGTAGCATTGGCCCTCGAACCGAGAATGTACCCCGAAAACCCCAAGGAGTTGGACAACTTGCTCTTCCGACCATGCGAGAGAGAGAGTACGGCCAACAGCATCCCCCCTCGATGCCTCCGGCTACTCGGAAAGCTGCACCCTCCACCTCTCTTGATAGGCCAGCCCCGCCAATCCCCCATTCCAAAATGTCTGAAAAGGCGCGTAACCCATTTTCAGTAGCTCATCGACGTCCGGAAATCTCGCTCTTGATGCAAACCAGTTGACTAGGTAACAAATTACTAGGCGGAGTGATGATGAAACGAACAAAGAACCCTAAGGACAAGGTACTTGGGTATTTGTCACATGGGTTGCTGTGGACCTCGGTACATATCTCGTAACGACTGAAAGTGGAAAAAGGAATGGAATAACCATGTGATTGATGGAGAGATCTCTTTATAAGTAGGTAGCTACTACATAGTCAATCGAAGGCGTAGTATGAAGACCGACCGCCCACCTCTCTTGAGTTACTACGAAGATGTCCAAATCCTCGACTCTACCGCTCGTGGATTACCCGCGCTTAGTCGGTCACGGCCATTCAAGTACGTGAGAGTGACAAGGAGACTGGATGAGAACTACTAGTACTTGAGGCCGTAGGAAAGAATTTGAAACACTTTACAGGCGACAAGCTCAGGGTGGAAGATTGAGGTCAGAGGAGGCGCTAAGGCAGCGACGGCTATCGTATCTTGAGCACCACACCTGGCTGAGCCCTGGCTGACCGTTCATAGTCTACGGATAGCTGGTTGTCCCTTTCAGCACTGCCAGCTCCTAGCTAGACCTGTCATGGTTGGCATCCATGCACTGAGAAAAAACAATGCTGCACCGAGGATCGAGCTCTTCCTGTCCCCCAATCTTCCTACTCGGCTGTCACAAAGTTCCTTCAGTCCCAGCGTTCCCTACCGGGTTTGCTGTCGTCGTTCCAGTCCCAAACTCCTTCGGCCCTTGTGTTGTGCTCGACCATAATCTCATGTCGGTCGATGCCGGCTCTGATGTGCCTCCGGCCAATACTGGGCCATGGAGTCGTGGATACCACCTTCTCTGGTTTCCATCCCTGATATCATAGTGAGCAGTGGGACTTGTATAATTCCTGAATTTTCTATCCACATCGTCTTCGCCTGAAACCCTGTCCACAGAACCTTTCTCGGTCAGCAAATGTTGTACGTGCGCATGGCCAAGATAGAGAAAGACTCACTGCCGTCTGTCCGTCATCGAACTCAAGAATGCACTTTAGGACAAACTGAATGCGCATCTTGCCTTGTCGGTGTCAGCCTTCAACATACCCAAGGACCCTAAGGAATCCGGCAGAATAGTTTCCACACAGATATGACCAGACAAATCGACATAGGTCTGCACAAGCCTCCCAAGCCTCGAAAGGGCTACACGAATTCTGATTATGATCTATGTTAATCCACCCAAACCCACGCCCATGCCAATAGGGCTGTAGATAATTGGTATGACGACAGAAAGAGATCTCAATCGCACGAAGCAGAGCAGGGTCAGCTGGGGAGAAATCTGGCATCTCTATGGGGATCTCCGGCTTGAGGGGAGCCATGCCGTTGAAGTCGACATCAAACGTGGCTTCTGACAGTAATGTTGGCTTCGCCTCAGCAAGGCAGGCTTTGGACACGAAAACGAGGTTCAGGCCAATACCACGGTCGCGGCAGATGGACCGTTTTGTCGCCTCACGGTCATCCCTTCTGGTCACTACCGTTTGCCCTCGGGCTAAAGCGCGATCGACATTGATGCGAATCCTGGGAGGCAGGTCGAAGAAGGATTTGCGAGATCGCTCCCATGGTGGCCCCGAATTCGAAGTCAATGAGGAATCATTGGATGACGACATTATTGGCGACGCGCCATACCTTTTCGGATCCGTCGAGAGAGTGGTTAATAATGACGGGGGGTGGCCGGCACGGGGAGGCGGCGGATGGCAATGTCGCAGGATGACGAGGTTGACGGAGGAGTTTTGTAGACAGGATCGTGAGGATAATTCGAGTTGAAGGCCACCTGTCAGCGAAAAAGCCGATGAGATGTCAGATGGTGGAGTGAAGAGGTCAAGAAGAGACTTTAAGGTGAAAGATGAGACTGAAGTGACAATCCTCACTCAGCACCCGCGTTGCGGTGTCTGCCCATAGGCACTGCTGTTCTGATTCTCCAGTCCCCCTTGTTGAACTCCTTGAGTCCTTCTGCTCGAGTGATCGGATCGTTGAACGAGTCGATGAGATTTTGCGGTGAAGTTTGTCATCTTCTCTCACATCGAGCTGGGACGCTCGGGCCTCCTCAAGGTCGCTTGCTGATCCGTTCTCTTTATTGAGGCATATGGTATCGAGAGGCGAGGCAATCTCTTCTTGCGGCATTGCATCATGGGCGACAAGTTATGCTCCTGGCTAGTATATGCCTTGGCTGTGCTGCAATGAAGCCCAATGTTGACTGATCATATACTCGAACATCCCTTCCTCATCCTCGAAATGAGCTGGTTTGACAGGAGCAGGTTCGGCTGCCTGGATTTCGATCGCCGTCCCTCCTTCCAGCACTCCCTCAATCCGGACTTTCCATGAGTCCAGATCAACGGCAAACTTCTAGGGCCAACGGTCAGTCGTGGTGGATTTGGCATCCGCGATGGTGGAGGAGCTTCTCTCGTACCGAGTGAATTGTCTCAGCGTTGTCAGCAAGCCACAAACTTCCTTCCAGGACAACTCTTCTCTCCTGCTGCCCTTTATCCTTCAACATCTTTTTTATATATATATGGTCGAAGCGATATCCTGTCAACAATGTTTGGATTGGGTCAATTTTAACCTTTTCGATGAACGTCTTCGTCAATCTCGGCCCGTCAAAAACACTGTTGTCCACAGGACCAGTTTTCCTCAGCTTTCGAACCGTCATAGTGCGCACCTGGGTCATCTTATCAAAGACTTGATGCAGCCAATCCGTACTGAAGCAATGAGTTTCCAGAATCACCACGTGCCGCATCACCTCATATGCCTTGGGAGAAACTATGCATGGAGTGTCTCCTGGATGGTCTGTGAAGTCGAATGTGCCCGTTGGCAGGAGGTATGGCGTGACCTCGCTTTTCCATTGTCTGCACACTGCTAAGGACGCGAACGATGGGGATGGGAGTCGATTGGCTTGGTCTGTGTCCATCGGAAAGTTGGGCAGTTGCAGCGGCTTGAAGACAACTGCCCGGAAGACGTATTCGTAGACCTTGCTGCGGATCTCTGCCGGCAGCTGAAACCACAACACCATCTCTGGATACTCTTCAAAATATTTGTGATTCCACACAACCGGCTTGTGGGCCTTTATATCTCTCGAGGAGAATTCGTGGACTAGTCGAACTTAGTATAGTCAGCAAACAGACTGAAAAGCAATCGAAAGATGGCGCTCCTGTACGCTGCACATGAGGCACGATTAGGACCTGCGACCTTTTCAACAGCCGAATCATATATGCGGAGGTCGGAGGGGGGCCAAATGGCAGAATGTTCTAAGAAAATGATAAGGGGCTGACATTGCAACATCGGAATGCCATGGAAATCCCTCTACAACCCTCTGGCATCCGCCTCAAACACCGCATCAATGGCAAGTCCAGTAGAGGGAGACCACCATCATCTTAGGTCAGAATAGGACGAATGTCGGCCTTCGCTGTAACCAGCAAGGTCAGCCTCAGCCTCATCTCCAAAAAGTGGCTGACGAGACAACCCAAATGTAAGAGATGTTTTGTAAGACAAGACATGGAAAAGGGGTATCTCTTCCTTTGGAAACGACCTTGGCGGAGTGGAACGACAAAGCAGAATGACCTGCTAGGGCTTATCAAATAGGATGTCCGCTTTCCACAACCCAGGCGATGACCAACGAAACTGACCGCCGCTCCTCTTCGGCTGATGAGAAGCCAAGTGGTATTGCCCCTGATGTGACGGCTTCATTTTCTTCGCGGCATTCAAAACAAGAAGCAGGATTTTCATTGCAAAGAATGGGGCAATTGTTGTAGGGCTGCTCTAGAGGGAGGCGCGAGAAAGAGGCAGAAAGGAGCAGAGCGGTGAAATGTTTGACGGAACTGAACAGAGCACGGGCGCAAAGGGCATGAGTCTTTGTCAGTCGTCGGCACTTCAACAAAGCCCGACGTGCTGCCCCAGAAAGTCCCCAGCTCCATGAGAGGACTCTGTCCTTTCTCCGGCGAGAGCTGGGCTGTCAGCAGAGGGATGCCAGGGGCGCCACTCCCTTCCTATGTATTGGGGTACACGAACAAGGATTCAACCATGTAATCAATCACCCAGCATTGCGACAAATCGATTCCCAATCGTACGTAGTCCGACGAATGCACCGACCAACCGCTCGCTCATCAATCAAACGAGGCAGTCCGTCGAGGTGGTGTACGGGGTTTGATGATGATATCCTGGATTACTCCCCCTTGGGCCATGGGATGCCTACTTACCCTACCCAGGAGCGTGTAAGTCTGTATATGCGAAAATAGCAGCCAATTAGGTATTGATTTGGCCTTTTTCAGTCCCTGATGATGCATCTCATCATCCCAACCCATCCCATGTATGTACGGATTCCCCTCCGGGTCAAAATGAAGCTCTCATCTCGCCTGTCCAACGGCTAACTCGACCCGTCCTGCACCACTTGTATGTTGCAGACTCGATCGATAGGTTAATCGTCCGTGATGCGGTTGCAGGACCTGTCGAATTCTGTCTCTGACTCGTGTGCTCGCGGAGGGGTCGTCCGCATTGTCCACGCCGAAGGCATACCCAGAGTGCCCTCCTCTCGCCTACGTTGACTCAAAGCAGTTCTGGCTCCTCAGACTGGCAGTCACGTTCGGACAATGGGTAGCAATAGCTGCATATGGTTTTGCCGATCCGATTGTTTTGGTTGATGAAAATCCCAGGCGCCGTGTCGGGTAGAACGAGGCCCCCGTATCACTCCCTCTCGATCTGAGAGTAAGTCTGTCAATAAAAGAAGCGTCGGAATCGTGTAGCTTCTATTTCACTGACTTGGGAGCATCCTGGATCTGGTAAGGAGATCACCGTGTCTGTCCTCTCAACCCTCTTCCAACTCCTTGAGCCGTGCCTCCCATGCGTCTACACCCCTCAATAACGTCTCCAACTCCTCCTTCTCGTCCTCCAGCTTGATCCTCCTCTCCGCGTCCAACGGGCAAAACACGTAATTACCCTGTCCATCAAACTGCAAGATCATGCTGTGGTACTTCCACAAACTGCGTCGGTGACTCACGGTCATCAATGTCGTTCCCAGGCCTTTGGCCGTCTCGTACATCTTCCTTTCCATTTCCAGTGTTACAGAGCTCGTGCATTCGTCTAGGATGGCGTATTTTGGCTTGTGGTAGAAGAGGCGAGCCATGGCTATGCGTTGTTGCAAGCCGCCGGAGAAGACGTCGCGCCATTCTTCCACGGCGTCCCATCCGTTAGGTCTGTTGACGATGGATTCAATCTCCAAAATGGAGAGGATCTGCTTGAGTTGCTCTTCCGAACCATGCTTGGCCCGGAATTCACGCAGTGTGTCCGGATAGATGATTTGGTCCCTGAGTGTGCCTCGACTCAAGTATGGCCGTTGGGGGATGTAGAATATATCTTCGAACCTGGGTTTCTTCACAGACCCGCCATAAACGGGCCAAAGCCCACCCAGGATCCGGAAAAGAGAGGATTTCCCACATCCATTAGGACCAACAATCAACAGGTGATCGCCAGGTTTGATCGCAAACGTTAATTTCTTCACTAGAACATCGCCATTCGGGCTCACGATGGGGACGTCGGTGAATTCGATGTTTTCGCTTTCTTCAATCGTCCCTCTTCCTCTGAGCACTGCGGCGTTTTCGTCTGTCGAAGCCGAACTGACCAGCTTCTTCTCGAATCGGCCCGCCGACACTTCGTCCATGACGTCTAACAAACCGGCAACACGGGATGTGTAACCGGCTAGTTCGGTGATTTCCTTGTAGGAGAACATGATGCGGCCGAAGGCGTCCGAACTGCTCAGGAGCATGCGCCGGTTTGTGACGAAAGACTCAGTATGGTCCCCCCTCGATTCTCCCGGGGTGAGATTTTGACCGGGAATTTTGAAGAAAACAGGTAATGAGCACAGAAGGAGGCCGAGGGCACCCCAGAAGTATTTGATGACAAAGTCTTCCATGAAGCCATGGTAGAACCGTCTCCTTAATATGCGATTGACATGTTTGATCAGCGTGAAATAACCCTTGTCTAAACCGTCCTTTTCAGCCTCGTGGCCGGCATATAAAGCGATCTCTTCACTATAATCGATCAATCTCGTATGTTGGAAACGGAATTCTCCTTCCAATCGTGCTTCGTCGGCCACGTATTTTCCGAACGGCGGCGTTAAAGCGCGCATGACGTTGGCAGATATTTGTACGAGTAGGGCCATAGCGAAGAGGCCTTCACCACCGACAGATTTTGACAGGGAATAGTTATATATCACCATGTCGAGGAGGGGTTTTGCCAGGTTGGAGTAGAGTTCTGCGAGGGAGTTGGAGAAGCGAGAGACATCGACGGTGATGAGTTGGTCGGCGTTCTTTATTCGATCATCGAGCGCCGAGAGAGTGTAAAAGGTCATATTGTTGAGATACTTTTCGTGGATGTATTGTGTTAACCTTGTCCTGTAGGCCAGCGCAAGGCGCGTCTGGTGGTACTGAAGCATCGAGTTCGTGAAGGTTGCAGGCACGGCCACCAACATCCACCACACAAGACCCAAGACGAATTCTCGTCCTTTGCCCCGGACGAGTGCGGATACCACCTTGCCATCGAGCTCGGCAACATACAGAGAGAGGAGGGTGCGGATGACGAGAAAGACGCTGTGGGAGATGATGAGCCTCAGCTCTTTGCTTCTCCAGCCGGGTATCACGATTTTGAGGAGGCGCAGTAGATTGCGGAAGAACTCTCTATTGATCTCGACCCGTTTCTTTCGATGTTCCTCCTGTTGTTTTTTGTTCTTCGCATCTGGGTCCTCGGGTGTCTGCTGGGAATGTCGAGCCCGCTCACGCTGAATCTCGGCTTGCCTCCTCGCGGCGGCCTTTTGTTCTGAGATGGCATTGTGGATCCGATGGATCAAGGCAATGACTAGGGTAATGTAGATGGTTCGAGAGATGTTCGTGCGGTGTTTGAGGTAGAGGGAGGTCAACTGCGAGAGGATTTGCTTGACGCTACGGCCTGGGGGCAGCAGTTTGGACTGAGCCGCCATTGTGCCGCCGGTGGGTGAGTTTGGTGAGTGTGAGATGGAACGAGGGTCGCATGTAAGAAGGACTAAAGGGGCTCTATCATATCATCATCGACGTGACGGGGGACAGAGATACTCTGGTTTTGTGCACATGCTTCAGATGAATGAGTTCAAGACGCGGCGAGGCGGGAAGCATTCCTTGCTAGACAGAGGGGATCCACGAGCCTCGGCCGATGAATGCATGTGCAGATCTGATCTCCTTACCAGGGACAAGAACAAGGCGTATACTGAGCAGCACCCAGTGGATTAAGGCGTTCTCTACTACCAGCTACCGACCTTCAGACGCTCGACCTCTATCAACACCGAATGCTCTATACGTTGGGTGACTACAGCATCTCATTGTCCGTATCTCATGGCAGGTACCTATAACCACAACAATGTGCATCATTTCTAAACGTTCATTATCCAGCCAGTCAATCCCAATTCCTCCTTCAGCCTCAAAACCCGCCCATCAATTCTCTCAGCGTAATCGGTTTCCGAACAGCATTCGAGAAGCCTTCGTGGAATGAGACCCATACTCGATCTTCAGCCTTTGTCCGTAGCTTCCCTACACGTTCCCTTGCACCCTTACCGGCCGACGTAGGTCGGCTTTCATTGATGATCCGACCAAAGAAATCACGCTTGGTTCCAGGAGCCTGGGAAGATGCTTCCTTCGCCTTGTCGGCAGGACGCTCGTTTTCCTTGTTAGCCTCTCCATCAACCTCCCCGCGAAGGTCCAATGTCGCAGAGCGACCCTGTCGGACTAGCGAGTTTTGCAACAGCCTCTCCTTTCTGAGCTCTTGATCGAGCACCTGTCGAACTGCATATCGAACCGGTGCGGCACCTGAACGTGATTTATCCATGTGATAATTCAGCAGTGTATCGAGGGGTCTGGCACCTTTGTTAGTGGGATCAGTCTTCAACTCAATGGACGTTAACTCACGGCTCCATTCGATATACATAGCCGCCATTCGAGTGAGCACCACCACCCTCAATTTCCACGCGGACCTTCTCAAATGATACATCCAAAGCCAGCATTGTTCGGACTGCGTTGCGAACACAGACCTTCTCAGACTCTTTCCGCACACTGGCAACACTGGCAGAGCTACCGGACCCTCCAATCACAATGGGCTTCACATCTGGAGCCAGCATCTTGCCCACATTCGGGACCAACTCTGTCGCAATATCGTCAATAGAGCTAAATAATCTCAACAAAGACGCTGAGAAATTTGACTGCAGCTCGGTGAGCAAACTCCGGTTCTGCTTCTCCGCCTCATAAGCAGCGAAATCTGCTTTCAGGCCGCTGAAAGGGTGGACATCCTTGACTTCTTCCTCCGGCAATTCTTCATTCCAGGCCACTCTACCTTTGTCGACAGTGGCGAAGAGATGGTGAAACCCACAGGCGCTAGTATTGAGGTAGGGCGTCAATTCCCACTCCTGTCCTGAGAACACTCGACTTGACAAGCAGTCATGAAAATGAAGCCATTCGTAACTTGCATTTGGTTTTGACAGTTGTACGTCGTCTTGAAACACTTGTGTTGGATATGTGGCGAAGCATTCCGTCATGACTCGGTCATGATCTCCACACGTATCAACCATCTCTCTCAGGGCCGCGATTGCTGCCCGTTTGCGAAGATTCGCGACTCCCACGGGGTTGCTTTTCGAGTCAGCAACCAGTCTCGCGTCGTCTGCGGAGAGAGCAGCTGGAAGATCAGGCAAGCCAGCCCCTTCCAAAAATATGCGCTCAACAACCTCTCTGACACCACCTCGTCCAAGGCCTTTCTGTCCAGATCGAGCTTCTGCAAGCTGGGGCTCGAGCCATTGGCGTGTCAATTTGGGCTTGGTTTCGTTGGCGCGTAGTTTATGCGCAATCCATTCGGCTTGTACGAGCACACTTCTGATGTCGCCCTCTCCGGACCCCCGGGATCCTGGCCCTCTTTGCTTTCGCATTGCCAGCCCCCAAGCGTTTTCGCACAGCCGGCGAACGGCGTCATTATCAGAGGCAATGCACTCTTTCTCGAAAACAGCCCTGACTCGAGCAATGACCTTGTCCAGTGGGGCTTTCCGAACATGGACAATCTCAGCGACGGAACTTGTGCGTAATGGTCGAAGTGAAGGTGCGAAGACGTCATTGCATACTAGGATCAGTGGTCTGAGCATTCTGAATTTGTCGCCCTTCTTTCTGCCTCTCACACCGTCTTGGTTTCCACTGCCCGATGCGTTCCTCTGGTCGAGCTGCACGAGGTCGATCAAAGCCTTGACAAATCCGCCTTCACCACCACTTGCACTAGAACCTGTGGTGACCCCATCGACTTCATCTACAACGACGCAGACAGGGCGCCCGGCTTTTCTCGCTTTGCCTTGTTCTTTGATTCCACGCACTGTCTCCGTTCCAAGAGCATCTTTGATCCTGCCTTTGACCACGTCTCGGCTTCGGTCGTCACTGGCATTGATTTCGAGTACCTCATATCCCGCTTGCCTGGCGCACACGTGGGCTAGAGTGGTCTTCCCAAGACCTGGTGGCCCAGTCATAAGCAGGATCTTTCGGTGTTGTTGATCTTGATCTTTGTCGTCAAAGGCCCTCATGGATTTTAGTTTTGCGCTTCCCGGAAAGACTATGTGATCCCATGCTTTAAGCCATCGGAGGACCTGCCGATGGGTTCTTTCGTCACCCACAAGCTCGGTGAATTTCTTTGCGCGATACTTCTCGGTCCACATCTGATAAATGACGGGCTTTGAGCCTGCAGACGGAGCATTTGTGAGCGAATCTGAGGCCTGTTGTTGATTCTTCCTCTGTTTCTCAAACTCGTCAAGTTGTCGCAGCGTCTTTGCATCGTCCATAAGCTTGTGGATTTCAATGCCATAGTATGCTTTCTTTGCACGACTTGCACTGGTTGCCGACCGCTGCGCAATAGTCTGCTCATATGACACAGCTTCAGCCTTTTGTCTGATGCGAATGTTCAATGCTGTGCCAGAGGATGTCTGTATGGTTACACCTCTGTGTTGCCGCTTTCTGAGCATTGGGCGAGGAAGGGGAGGTAGATGTGGACTAGAGGGAACATCATGCCTTGTTGCAGTCCCCGGTATAACATCCGTATATGCGAGTTCTGCGACATCCTCCCGAAGTGGTGGGAGTGCCGACTCCTTTTCTATCCGCCGTTGTAATTCCTCCACATCCTGGGGCTTGTTTTCGGCCTTGTCTTCGTCCTCATCTTCATCGTCTACCACTATGAACCCGCCCAGCATCTTAGTCCTCTTTGTTTGCTGCTCGGTGGGAAATGGTTGAAACAGACGGCGCTTCTTTTTGTGGGGAGGTACAGGTGGTGATGAGCTAGGCGCATAGGCTATGGGAGAGGAAGAGAAGACCATCGTGTCAGATACGAGGCCAAGGTCGAGGCTCGAAGAAGGCAGCAATTCGTTGAATTGTTCAGGATTGCATGTGTAATTGGGTCGTGGCGGTAAATGCTTTCGAGGGCGGCGAGGTTGGGAGACGACGGGATTATGTTAACAATTTCTGTGTGTCTAGAAGTACAGTCTTGTGATCAGGATTCTGGATTTCGCCGTTTTGTAAGGGGTAGTGACATTTCCATTCATTTGGCCTTGATGAAAGTTACAAAGTGAAATCATTGACCCAAGTTGTCTGCACACGCGCGACGCGCTTCTCCTTCTCCAACTGGAACGCGTAAAGGGACCCCAAAGTCCCAGGCAGAGAGTCACCCCCCATTCGTCATACCCTGCTGTAACTGTAACAGTCTCGTCTGACAAAAGCCTTCTGATGAAAATGGAAACGATATCCGGCAAAATGATAGCAGACAGAGTAAAGCACCTTCAGTTAAGTGAGGGAATGTCGCCGTCAGACCGGTCAGCTTTGTTGCTCCTCAAATCTCTGGCCCTTTGTAGCAGCGCAGCGCGGCGCAGTCAGACTTCATATCTACGAGACCCTTTGCTCCATACATTCCAGCAAGTGTTAATAACTAAAACAATGTCGCATGGGGCATGTTTCCGGTCGCTTCGATCCCTTTGTCTCAGAGACACCAATCAAACCCGCCTTACGCTCCAATGCGACTCCCAATCCGCCGAATACATTTGATCGCATCTATTCGACATATCGTTTCCGATCACCTCAACTTGAAATGCCCAGAGAGAATATAGGAGATATTTCCGCAAAAGACTTTGCGGAGTAAGTGAAGTCCGTGCGAAATACGACATCACCCATCTATACCTTCCAGATACTCAGCATGGCTCAAGCGACGAGGTTGCGCTGACCAATGCGTATGACGGAAGGTTACTATCCGGCCCATTGCTGGATATCTTCGTCGGGCCCGAGGGCCGCCGCTGGTCCTTACATCAAAACCTCCTCATCCACCATGCGCGCTTCTTTGACGAATCATACACTGTTAACGGTGAGCACAAGCGCATCAACGATGGCAAATTGGAACTCCGCGACGAGGATCCAGGCGCATTCGAACTGCTGGTGAAATGGCTGTACCAGGGCAAAATTGACGATGTCTCATGGATGCCCAAGGACGTCAAATGGGACTATGCATTCACATGCCAAAAACTCTACCTCCTCTGCGATACCATCGGGCTGCAAGAACTCAAAAACCAAGCCATCGACCAATTCCGGCGGGGATGCCATGAGGCGGGCCTCGTTCCCGGCCCCGAAGAAATGAAGCCCATTTATGAGAAAACTCCGCCCAGTTCTCCCTTTCGGAAACTCGTGAGTAAGATTGCTGCGAGACAGATCATGGACCCCGGGTCGGAGAAAGATGCAACCAGCTACAGGGAGTGCTTCGCCAGCACTCCGGACTTTGCAGTCGATGTGATCAATGCGATCAAGGAGGGCAGTGGTGGGTCTCTGTTTGACGATCCAACAGAGGGTAATGGGTGTCGGTATCACGAGCATGAGGATGGTGAGAGCTGTCACAAGACGGTCAGATTCAAGGATAGTTCGTAATGGGAAGTGCGGTTCGCGAAGAAGAAACCTGGAGACACGGAGACACGGATGCTCCTCTAATGGAATACGGCGATGCATCCATTGGAATCACCAAATCTATGTGTCTCCCAGAATGTCAATCTGGAGGACGTATGGAGTTGTTTCGGAGTGGCTGCATTTGTGGCTGTACGACCCTTCAACGAATCACTACGACGCAAGCCATTTTAGTGAGAGGTCCAAGATCACGACGGGAAAGGCAGGAAGTACCTCGATGAAAATATCCGTCTGCTGGCTCGGTGCACCCCGACCTCGACTGCTTCGGTTATATACCATTGGGAACATCTATCGTTCGGCATCTAGGACAAGGCATACGGGGGCATCTCGTTGACCTAGATCAATAGTCGCTGGGTGAAGGGCGCAATCAAGCCACTAAACCTGGAAATCGGGCAGCTTTACGAAGTTATCAGGAATCAAAGCTAGTGGAAATGGTTTCGTTCTTTGACCACCTGGGTTTCCTCTCGGCTGCATAGATGAATCCTGATGGCCCTTCAGAATTTGACTGGCTCGAGATAGTGACATTGGAAGCCCAACACTACCTTCATAACCATAAAATTATGAGATTTCCACCCACTCTCTCTTAGGCAGTGATAGATAATATTGACATGGCTGAATAACCTGTAAGCTTGAGATTATATTTAGCGAAATACATTGTCTAGCTGTTGTCTATTATTTAGGATAACAGGCAGGCATACGCTATATAAGTCATTCTTTCGCAGTGCCAACTTTTCTTTCCACAGCCTCCTCAGGTAAAAGAACGGCATGGAAGAACTTTCTACCTATTGTCACGTGACATAGCCTCTTGGCAGTGGATCGCATTTCGTTCGCCGCAAACTTGCGAGGTCGTGTTGCTCGCGGCGCAGTTTCGCGACAGGGTTTCAATCTCGAGCCAAAAACACCAAAAACCCATCCGCTTAAGTGATGTGTTCAGCCCTCTTGGGATTCCTGGGTGCTTAAAGTGTTTGAGACAGACCCCGCGCACACTTTGGCCTGCACTGGAGCTTCATCCAAGGCCCTGAAGGATTGGGAGGGCTCATAAGTTTCATGATACCACAATGGACGATACTCAGCCACAGCCCGCCGAGTTGAAGCACGAGTCTTCAGACGCTGTCGACCTTGGCGCAAACGGCGCCCATGTCACTGCCGCCGATGCAGCAGAGACACAATCGAGAGGTACGCGCGTCATTGCCCGGAGCACTCTCCCTCGTTCATTTGCTGGCTCCCTCTGAATCCAAGACTTACCTGACGAGATTCTGCAGATACTCAATCATCAGCCAACTCAAATGGAACGACGTCGGCCAATCCTTTAGATGCCCCCAAGTCACCGCCGGCTCAAGATGATCCAGACGGCGAGCAGGAAGATGCTGAGATGGGCGGAGTGGACGAAGACGCAAAAGTCGAAGATGTTGATGCTGAAAAGGATGGAGCGGAAGAATCCCAAGAAACGCCGGCCGCAACACAAGCGACAGATGGTCAGGCAGCACAGGCAAAATCCAGCCTCGAGGCTGCAGCCAATTCACACCTCGTCGCGCAGACACATCAAATCATCCTGCCCAGTTATAGCACATGGTTTGACATGCACACGATCCACACCCTAGAAAAGAAATCACTTCCAGAGTTCTTCAACAGCCGAAACCGCAGCAAAACACCCGCCGTTTACAAGGACTACCGCGATTTTATGATCAACACCTACCGTTTGAATCCCGTCGAGTACCTCACGGTAACTGCATGCCGAAGAAATTTGGCTGGTGATGTCTGTGCGATTATGCGGGTACATGCCTTTCTAGAACAATGGGGCCTCATCAACTACCAGGTACAGTGTTTCCTACCTTTTTTTTTTCCAGAGTCTATACTAACTGCAACAGGTCGATCCACAAACTCGTCCCGCGAACATAGGTCCCCCATTTACAGGCCATTTCAGAGTCACCGCGGACACACCTCGTGGATTGCAACCATTCCAGCCCGCGCAAAATACTTTCACAACGCCTGGAAAACCTCATCCCTCAACTGATCGGGCCGCTTCGGCAACCCCTGCTTCAAAGCCAGATCTGAACCTTGAGCTCCGACGGAATGTCTACGACGACAAAGGCAAAGAAGTCAAAAAGACTGAAGACTCAGAGAAACAAACAAACGGCGAAGGGGCGACCACTAATGGCGCGAGTTCCGGCGCTGCTACAACCAAGGCCATGGACGCTGCTGCAAGGGAACCCATCAAAAGTTTCAACTGCTTCTCATGTGGAGTTGACTGTACGCGATGCCGCTTCCACTATGCCAAATCAGATCCCGTTTCAAGCAGTGCGAACCCCAACGAGCTTAAGTACGATCTATGTCCGAACTGCTACTTTCAGTCTCGAATGCCGGCAAACCATCGCTCGTCCGACTTTGTCAAGATGGAGGAGCCAGCATATTCACATATTCCCGACAAAGATGCCGCCTGGACGGATTCAGAAACCCTCTTGCTGTTGGAAGGCCTGGAGAATTTTGATAATGACTGGAACGAGATTGCCAAACATGTTGGCACACGAACTAGGGAGGAATGTGTACTCAAATTCTTGCAACTCGACATTCAGGATCAGTACCTTGAAGACGGACCATTGAACGGTGCCTCTGCGCTGAAGACGCTGACAGGAAGGAGTGCCATCAGTCAACTGGACAATCCGGTGATGTCAGTCGTCAGCTTCCTTGCGCAAATGGCAGATCCGGACGTGGTTGCCGCGGCATCAAACCGCTCTATTGCAGTCATGCAAAAGCAGCTGCGGGCGCAGCTTGAAAAGGGTATGGGCGGAGCCGAAGAAAAGGCGACGGGAGAGATGGAAAAGGGAGAAGTAAAGTCAGAAGATCAGATGGAAGTCGACGAGTCAGCCCCTTCGGCAGAGAATCCGGCGACTGAAGCAAATGGCTCGACGAAAGTGATCAATGACATCGCCACTACAGCACTGGCTGCGACTGCTGCACGCGCCAGTGGACTTGCTTCGCATGAGGAAAGAGAGATCACGCGGATGGTGTCGGCCGCCGTCAACCTCACGCTCCAGAAGTTTGAGTTGAAGATGGCGCAATTCGCGGAAATGGAAGAAATCGTCCAAGCTGAGCGAAGGGATCTCGAAAAGGGCCGACAGCAACTTTTTTTGGATCGGCTGTCGTTCAAGAAGAGAATGAAAGAGATGGAGAATACATTCCGCCAAGCCAGCCTGAAGGATCCGCAAGAGGGCATGCGCATGATGCAGGAGGCAGTGAGCACCAACGCGGGCCACAAGTTTGGCTTCCAGTCAGAAGGTGACAGAGGCGAAGGAATGGTTGTCAACATCACCGCTGATTCTGGTGACGCAAGGACTATGGAGCTCTAGAGGAGAAATCCTCCGGGGGAAGGTGCGCAGCAAGCCCTGCGCATGATGCGAGAGATGTATTCTGCACAAAAGAAAGGCCCAGGATTCAGTTTTTCAATGTACTGTTGAGGATGGTGAGGACACAGCTCACCCCATGACTGCTGATGTCCGTGGCGGCGGGAACTATGGAGCCTTAGAGCAGGGATGTATTGGACTTGATAGCTGAGGGTAAGGAGGTATTGGGCATGGCGTTCCTGTTCTCATTGTAGTGTGCTACATTAGTCACAGTGGAGGACTAACTCTTTCAAGGAAAAAGAGAGGAAGGGACAGAGGCTGCGAGGTTGGCATTCGTCGAATATGTTATCATGAAGGATGCGATATTCAGAAGCTCAAGGCTTTGCAAACAATGGATTTTGTACTTGTACTCTGTATGTTCCTCAACGAGGCTGAGGTCTTTGTGGCGCAAGGCTGCGAGAAGAGAAGAGAGAAGAGCGAACTACAGCCGAAATTACCCGAGCAGCCCGAGGCAGCAAGCGACGCACGGCGATTCAACCGACACCGGGTCTTGCATCCTGCATCCTCCATAGGAAGAGGCTCTGACGCAAGGATCGATAGACCGCTGTTCTTCTCATGTTGTAACTCTCTTTTACGTGCTTTTCCCGCAGGATATAGACCATCTGGTGTTCTTTGCAATTGTCTCTGGTCTCTGGTCTTCTTTTTGATTTCCTTCTCTTCTCTGCGGAATCTCATCCCTTTTTGGGGAAAATGGTGGCCGAAGATGTATGTGTTCTCGCTCCCCCGTGTGATAATACGACAGTTCGCCCCTTCAGACACTGAATGGTCTTCTAACAATCGAGACAATCTGTATAGTCGTCGAACAAATCACCACTCGTTTCATTGATCGCTGGGGGCACAGCAGGTGGAGTTGAGGCTACAATCACTTATCGTAAGTGTCTCTCGCATGCTTCTGCACGAAACCTCCGAGGCGGATATCGAAGGCAGACAAAGTCGACCGTGAGAGCACAATGAGACCTGACACTTTGAGGACACCTCGCAGCATTTGAATTTGCAAAAACACGCGTCCAGCTGCATGAACAGACGCCGACTCGAAATCCCTTCCTCGTCATCAAACATGTCATTGAGCAGGAAGGCCCGCGCTCACTCTACAAGGGGTGCTCGACTCTCGTCGCGGGAACCGTGGCCAAGGACGCCATCCGGTTCATCTCCTTCGACACTATCAAGGCGCAGTTCAAGGACCCCGAGACCGGCACGCTGTCGCCGCTCAGGAATCTGATGGCCGGCATCACCGCCGGGGTCGTCGCGAGCACTTTTGCAGTGACACCGACAGAGCGGATCAAGACGGCGCTGATCGACGATGCGCGATCGGAGCGCAAGTTCCGCGGCCCCGTCCATGCCACGGCGACGCTGATCAAGGAGCATGGCATCGTCAACGCCCTGTATAGAGGCTACGTCACCACGACGCTGAAGCAGGCCAGCACCACGGCCGTCAGGCTGGGCACCTATAACATCCTTAAGGACTTTGAGCGGCTGCGCAACATCCCGCAGACCACACTTACGACGTTTGCTAACGGGGCCGTCGCCGGGACCATCGTCGTCTTCGCCACGCAACCGTTCGACACGCTGAAGACGCGCGCACAGTCCGTCAGGGGCCAAGGTGTGCTGGAGGCCTGGAACGGCGTCATTGATGACTACGGCTTTCGCGGACTCTGGAGGGGCAGCACGATGCGACTAGGCAGGACCGTGCTGGCGGGAGGCATTCTGTTCACCACGTACGAGTGGATTGCCGCTTTGATCCAGCCGGCGTTGGAAAAGACCAGGCTCGCTCCCGCCGCCGCTGCCGCCAGGGAATGAATCAATGGGGCGATGACGACCTATCATCTCTACAGCAGAATGCATTTATCCATCCACCTCACACATTACAATAAGAATCGTGTCTGATCGTCCCTCCAAGAACGAGAAACCAACTCAAAAGCCGATTCCACGATAAGTTCTCGAGGGCCGCCGTCAAACTGCACTACAGAGCGAAAGACATCCTGTACCTCCAAACGCTATTTTCGGGGTTCTGCAATTGATATGTGGGTGGGAGTACCCAAACCCAAAAACATCGCACAAGTTGAATGATGAATGACATCGAGCGAGGGTATATGTCAAGGGCGAAGCCGTGCGAGAGCGAGAGCGCAAGACACCAGACAATCCAACGAAGGTCGAGATAGGGGAGATAGAGAGTGAGCAAAGTGTCGGAGAGGGAGGAAGAGGACTTTTGTGGAGGGACTCAAGGCAATGGATGGAAAAAGAAACCCAAAAAGAACCAGGGGAGGGGGGAGAGAGAGAAAATCACGAGCTCGATAAGGTCTGCACCTTACGCCTTAGCTCTTACGCCTTTCTTTCATCGTCCGACCTATCTATGTCTGTACCTATCGACACCCGTCCCACAACCATTTGTATTATATCACATTATACTAAATGTTGTTACGCAGCACTACATCACTCTGCATACAGTGTATTGCATCCTAGCACGGTGCAATTTTGCAAATCATACGCCGCGGCGCATGAGAAAGAGAAGTCTAGGTTGGCTATTGTACTGTGGGACGAAAGGAAATAGGGATAGAAGCTCGAGAATTGAGGATGAACTCCAACCGGAGTGGAACAAAGGGTCATGGTAAAATGGAGGCTGAAGAGAAAATTGTATAATGAGTACTTGAGTAGATACAGACCAGACACATAGACACAGGATGAGGCCTTTGGAAAAGGCTCAGGAGCAACTATGGAAAGAAAGACGATCGCCATGCTCCTGCTTCGCTTGCTTGCTCGCTTGCTTGCCCGCCTCACGCGGCCCCATCCACTCTGCCGCCGCCCGTATCACAGCACCTCCAGGACATCCCCTAAGTGCCTGCAGTTTCCCAAGAGCAGCCCCGGCCATGGCCATCTAGGCCTCTGCCCTAAGCTCTGAACGTAGCCTCCGGAGAGGCTTTTGAGCATAGGCACTGAGCTGCTCCGTCAGCCGGGCGAGCTCTGGCCGCATCTCCTCCATCAGAGCCTTCCTCCCAGATCGCTCCTCGTGGTTGTCCAGGTTGACAGGAGCTCTGCCCTGGGTCATGGTGCTGAAAGCGTCGCCGGCCACGCCGACCCACGCATCAAAGAAGTCAACGAGCTCGCTGACCTCGTCGTAGGCAACCCAATCGACAGCTTGGACCAGATATGCGAGGTCGTTGAGGCTTTTCTCGACGGCCTCGATCGTCCTCAGCAAGCGCCAGTATCTGTAGCCGAAGCGCGAGAACCTCTCCAGCATGCTGTACAGGGCCTCAAATTCACGGTCGTAGCCTTGCCGGATTTCACGAAACAACCTGAGCCAGTGTCTGCACGCGCGGGCGAGGTCCAACTGTTCCAGATCTACCACACAACACCCAGCAGGATCTACCTCTCGCGAAGTGCCCATGGGAGTCGGCGGCCTGGGAATATACGGGGTTGGTGGTCGCGATGGCGGATCTCGTCCAGCTGGCCTTGGGGTGGGATTCTCGACAAAAGTGATGCTGGTTTTTCTGCTGGAGCTGGAGGCCTCCTCGTCCGGTACGAGGGCTTTAGGGTCTTCGAAGAATCGAGAGCCTTGTTCATTAACGAGGAAGCGGCCTAAGGCGGCCATCGAATCTGGATTGGGAATCTCGCTTTGGTTGGAGGCTGGAGCACCTCCAGGAGCACCGGGCGGCATGCTGGCACAAGAGCCGTCGCCTTGTTTGCGCTGGAGCTTCCCAGCCAAGGAGCTGTTTCGCCAGATGCGTGGAATTGAAGAAGACATGATTTGCGTGGGTGGAATGTAGCGATAACGCTTCTGTTGTCGTCGTTGACGGTGATGGTGATGGTGATTCCTCTCTTGTACGACAAGGCTCGACGTTTGGATCAGGAAGGTGCTGGTGGTAAGATGAACAAGACCGTGGTAAGGTAGAAAAAATACGAGTAGAGCAGAAGAAACGCAGGGCAACTATATAGAGCTTTTTTGGTCAAGTATTTCTGTTGTTTCTCGAGGACTGCCACCCACAGAACTTCTCCCGTAGAAAGTCTGGTAGAGCACCCAGTTCACTCGCCGTCTATGCGCCAAGCATGTTGTTCTGGGTCAGCCAGAGACATTTTGCCTGATCCAGGAAGACAATCTGCGGTTTCCTTGTGGAACAGCCATCCACAGCTCGTATAAGTCGTGTAGGAGGGTGTAGTGGGAGGGGTGTGATGTGAAAGAGAGTCTGGATCCAAGTAAAGGTCCTCCATCAAGTTGATCTGAAAGTTTTGAGAGGCAACCTTCTGAGAGTACTTAAACCCCGGTGGCAGCAGGACAAGAAGGGACATTATGCCATCCTCTTCAAGGACGATACTCGAGACTCTCATTGCGCCGAGCCCGTTTTCCAGACCCGTCAAAGAGCATCTACACTCCACCCGGACCGAAGAAGCGAAGAAGCTTATTCATCAGTTATTGCGGTTCGCCGTGTGCCGCAAAGACAAGAAGAATCTCGTTTGCGAGGGGAGTCCCCGTACACCAAGAAAAGAAGAACCAAAAGCCATGGATCATCGATTCTTCAAGCGGTGGCTCTGGCGTTCGACACCAAAAAAAGCATCACACACATTTCGAGTTCACACGAAGCTCAACTCAGAAGAAGCGCTCCGCAGGTTCCTCAAGATTCGAGACAGCCTTCAAATGACCAAGCAGGAAATCGTCGACATCTGCCGAATGCTAGAAGAAGATGGCCAACTGCAAACTGCCTTGTTCAAGGCGGACACTGAGCTCCTCGTCACCATCCTGGCGGTACGGACTTACAAAGTTGGGGAGAGGGAGTATATCGGGGCGGCAGTGCTTGCTTTGGAGGCTTTGATGTTGCGAACAAGGGCGCTGTTTCTGAAGGCACACCCAGCCGTCTGCAGCTATCGAGGCTCAACGCCGAGCGAACTCCATTTCCTGGCGAGGACGCTGGCCCAGGAGATCCACCAGAGCATCAAAGGCTTAGCTAGTATGCGCGAGACGGTGCGGAACGAGGTTTATCCTGATGATGTGGCGACCGCTGAGGTCCAGACCAACTGGAGAGCATGGATTTGCCAATTGTACGGGCGAGGAAGCAATAGCGGCAGAGGGAGGAAGGCGGAGAGTGGCAACAGCGTCCACCGGGCGAAAGAACATCATGAGAGGGAGCACCTGTTTACACGAAACGGGTGGGAGCACAATGGAGGGCGTTGTCGGTGTTTGGACTATGAATAAAATGTTGAGACTGAGGCCGGGGAGCAGGCAAGGTAACTGGCAACAGGTAACGAGTAACAAGTGGACAGGAAAGAGAGCTGGGTCTCACTAGGCTAATAGTCAAGGCGAGATGGACGTGATTTGGTGCGGAGCTATTCGGGCATTTTCTCGTATTTTAGGAGGGCCAAGGGGAGGCTCACTAGGCTTTAGGTATTGGCTATGGTGGCTAGCTATTTCTAGGCGTTCTTGTTAGTTAAGCTTCTCTCCGGTAAGGGTTTCCCAGTGCCAAACGCCCAGGCTTCACTAACCATTCAAGCTCTCTAATAAGCACCCCTTGGCCACCCCAAGCAAAACGCCCCCCCCGTCCGGGGGACTGCTATAGGCTTGTCTTGCTTCGTGTTATCCGCCGAGGCCGCCACCGATGTAACGCCAAGCGAGTCGCCTGCGCCCAGAGTCAGCCCACCACTTTCTCAGAACTGTAATCCTCCCGGCATTTCACGACGCCCATCATCTACACAAACACCAGAGGCTGCATTCAGAAAAAGTCAGAGTATGATTCGGAGTCGACAGATACCCAAACGAGTAATCCCATGGAACTTCGACAGAACACAGTCCGATCTCTTCCATCTCGTATCGCACCCTTGCGTCCTCTTTCCGATCCATCTTCGTCGAGGCCTTCTAGAATGCATGTTAGAGACCCTGACGACCTTGGAGATACTGGTGGCCGCAGCGTCACGATTACATACCTACGACGTCCATCCGTCTGTCCTGTGTGCCATCCTCTCGCCTACGCTTCCAATGCCTCCCCGACCTGTGCCGGTCGAAAGCCGGGCGATGTCACGCTCTGGCATCTGTGATTGACACTCTAGCGCAAGCAGCACATCAACCCATGGCCTTCTTGCAGACGACGCCACCATCAGCAGCCTCGTCTCATTCGTTGCGCCGTCCCAGATCCCCCGCAATTCGAACAGCCAGCAAGGCCAGCTCCTCCACCACACGAGCTGGGATTCTGGCTCCTATCCCCACGAAGGAATGGATCAATATTCCACCAACCACACAAATTCAACACCCACAATCCGATTGCCGTGTAACCACACCACTTATCTTTTCCCATGTCGGGTATGTGCCGATCAATTCCCGTTTCCTTGCTCGCCTGCTACCATGAGCAGCACGAGCAGCGAGGTGAAAAATGGGACCAAGTCGACCAGCATCCCTTGCAGGGCCTCATGACCGCCCGCCCGCTCATTTGCAACGGGGAAAAGAATATAAAAGACCTGGTTGCCTCCGCTGTCAATGCTTTGTGCTTTCAACTCCAAGCCCGACCCGCCTCCTGGTTCTCCATAAGGCTACACAAGACTCTAGAAGTGTGACTTCACTATCAGGCAAGAGTCAAACAAATCAACATGGCTCACGTCGACTCTCCCACCAAGGAGACCGTGCCTACTGCCCATCACTACTCCGATGAAGACGAGCGCGACAACACACATATGTCTCCAGCCAAGTATGCTGCGACAAGAATCACCACCCTCAAGCCTCCCATGGCAAAGGCACCCAACCCTTTCAAGCTCCTGGCCATGCTAAACACTCAACAATGGCTTTTCTTCCTGGTGGCCTTCTTCGGCTGGTCGTGGGATGCCTTTGACTTCTTCACCGTTTCGCTTACCGTGTCAGATCTGGCCGAGACATTCAACAAGTCCAACACAGATATCACCTGGGGCATCACACTGGTGCTCATGTTCCGTTCGGTGGGATCAACAATCTTTGGTATCGCTGCGGATCGTTATGGACGGAAATGGTAGGTCAAGGCCTCTTCAATCTTCGCATTGAGCTCTCAAGCTAAATGGAGATTCAGGCCTTTCATCATCAACAATATCCTCTTCATTGCCCTCGAACTTGGCACCGGCTTCACGCAGACCTACGGCCAATTCCTCGCAGTGCGCGCCCTTTTCGGTATTGCCATGGGGGGCCTTTATGGCAACGCGGCAGCCACCGCGCTTGAAGATTGCCCCGAAGAGGCTCGGGGTATCATTTCCGGGATGCTTCAGCAAGGCTACGCCTTTGGATATCTGCTTGCCACGGCCTTTGCTCGTGCCCTAGTCAACACGACTTCACACGGTTGGAGACCACTGTTCTGGTTTGGCGCGTGCCCGCCGGTGTTGATCATTATATTCCGTCTGTGTCTGCCCGAAACACATACTTTCCGTGCTCGCCAGGCTCTTCGTGCGGAGCAGGGCAGTTTGGCGGGTACTTTCATTTCCGAGGGAAGAGTTGCGCTGAAGAAACACTGGCTCTTGCTCATATACATGGTCCTTTTGATGGCGGGCTTTAACTTCATGAGCCACGGCTGTAAGTTTTGTCCTGGAAGCCCTCGACCAGTCCTCCCTTTGGAGAGTTCTTGATCACTGTTTCTACGCGAGAAGATTTGAGATGCTGACCCAAATCCTAGCCCAGGACTTGTATCCAACAATGTTGACGAACCAATTCAAATTCTCCGCCGATGCCGTCACGGTCACACAGGTGGTGGCCAACCTGGGCGCCATGACTGGCGGCACCACCATCGGATACTGCTCGCAGATCTTCGGGCGTCGATTCAGCATCATCTTTATCTGTGTCATTGGCGGAGCGCTGCTGTACCCCTACACCTTCGTCACCTCGCACGCCGTTATTGCAGCAGCGTTCTTTGAGCAGTTCTGTGTGCAGGGAGCGTGGGGCGTGATACCGATTCACCTAATGGAGCTCTCTCCTGGGTCTTTGCGTACGTTTGTTGTGGGTACTTCCTACCAACTGGGTAACTTGGCATCGTCGGCCTCTTCCACGATTGAGTCCACCATTGGGGAACGGTATCCTCTCGCGCCCCTCATCAACAAGGAAGGAAAGGCCGTCAAAAGATACAATTACGGCAAGGTCATTTGTATCTTCATGGGGGCGGTATATGCCTACACCATTTTGCTGACTTTCGTTGGGCCCGAGCACAGAGGGAGGAATCTCAATGTGGAATACGATGAGGATATGGCAGAAGTTACACACAGGGATCTGAGGCAGCAGCCGATCGCGGTTGGCCATGGGGATTCCAGCGAGGACGAGAAGGCGGTTGCGAGCGAGAAGGTTTGAATTGAAGGCGCGTGACGGTGCAGATTGCACGGTGCGACAGAGGTGGTTTGGTCTAAAACAGGAGCATGACGATAGCCCGTGTGGCTCCTTCAAAGGTCTGAGGAGCTGCATGCATCGTGGTATGCGAATGCTTTAACTATCTGAAGCCACCGCCAAAGCGACCGCTATCCGAGCCAGAATGGAATCCAAATACGAACCAATTTTGCCTCTGTCCGTGCCCTCGGCCTCCCTGGGATACTGTACACTGTATACCGAACATGCTATGTGTCCCGCTCGACCCGTCCCTTCTACGTAGAAAGTACTACCAATCGGCATTCACACACGATAGATGCGTGTATGTATGCATGTATCGCCTGTGTCGAGGTATACCATACTTGGATCGGCACAGATATATACATCCTATACCGAGTACTTTTAGGTTCCTAGCGAAGTCGTATGCTTTGATAACAAATAAGACAGACCTTGCGTCGCCGGCATGGCATCTTGGTCGTGTCTGGCGTTCTCAAGGCCGGTCGGCGCATGCATCCATACAGGATCCGGAACCTACATGGTCCGTAGGTAGGTACAGGCGCTCGGTGTCTGAAGCTCGTCGTCCTCTTCCTAGTATTGCAAATGGAGCTTTTACTTGTCGGCACCATGGCGCTGGCCCCGGGACTACATATGTCGTCCAAAGGTCGGGAAAAGGACCTCCGTACGGAGGATTGCTCGCGCGGGTTTTACTCGTGTAGGTAGGTGTTTTGGGGTTCGTCCCGGGCGCACCTCGTATTCAGGGTGTTCGATTAGTATGTATGTATATAGCTTGGGCGCCGCATTCTGGTGGCTTGCTTCAGGCTTCCGGCTGCTAATCTTGTGGTGTGTTTGTTTGAAGAGTGGCTGGCTGGTTAAAGCCTTGGGTTCATTGTACGTATGTAGCTACGGACTCGGTACAGAGGATTGGGTCTGCGTGTTCGTCGATCAAGGTCTCCATGGTCTTTCCACACCCTGCGCAGGCTGCCTAGTAATCTTCTGTATGCTCCGTTGAAAGTGAGTTTTCTTTGCGAATAGCCTCTGCGAGCTTTTGTGGTCGCCAGATCTAATGCACTGATTGACTCGGCCGATTCGGACATGAATGGCACAGTGAACAGGTGCCTGGATAGTCGATATCCTTTTGACAGCCCCAAGTTGGAAATTTGAGTCCGTAAGGTCTTCTTTGACACCACCACAGTGGATTTATGCGGCCCACTCTGCCCACACCGAGGCTTTTGGATTGATAGTAGAGTGCAGGAAGTGGACTTTTGGTGTGTGGCATTTGAGAGCCTAATATGGCGATCTTGGAAATACTGCCCTCTTCCTCTAAGGTATTAGGCTGGTTTGTCCCGGACACGATGTTTTGTTCTATGGCTAGTGAAACAGCGAGGTTGAGTGAAGAATACTCACAGAACCCATCCACGCTCGCCACATTTCTGGAAGCTTTGGATTGGTCTCGCGAGTAGAGAGGTGTAGTTTCCGGGCTCTGCTGGGTTGGCAAAGCGTGGGGATCGAGAATGAGTGATATCCTAGGTGCCATATTCGCTTCAGCTCCGACTGCAACTTGGAGCAGGTGACGCGTCTGCTGTGTGGTCCGTTGTCACGAGAGATGGTCTGAAAATGGTCAGCCAACAACTGGGTCGATCCCATGGAACTGAATAACTGTGAAGATGATCACATCGCTGTGTCTCCTGAGACAAGATTTCCCCTTACAATAAATACAACTAAAGGACATAGCGTATAACGATCCTTATCTATGAAAAGAAGACAGCACGCATCAGAAGGCCAAAGTCACACCTACACATAAAAAGTAGCTAGAACACTGCAGAGCTTCCCATCAAGATCTTTGCAATGTGTCCTGATTCGCCTTCAAGTCAAGAAGTTGAGGGCGAACCGCGCTCGGCCGAAGATGCTGGAATTACCGCAGCCCACATCCTTCAAGATGCTGTCCAATTCCTGGAGCAGTCGATAGACGGCGGGAAGCATGTCTCAAATAAAAGATTTGCATCGTGCGGTGTTGGAAAATTCCTTGCATGGGAACATCACACTCCAAATTCAGATTGCTGAGTAGGGCTTCTATAGTTCAGCTAGAGCTGTGCTGTATGAGACTTCTGCTGATGAAATTGTTGGCTTGCACTATAGATGCTCTTTGCAACAATCCCAATGTGCGCTGCAAACCCGTGAGGTCCATCTTCATGATGCAATACTCATCTAAATTAGCGAACAGGCAAAATCCCCGAGCTTTTATATGGCGGGGGTCGGTGCCGACTCTTTATGGTCAACCGTGGTTGGCAAGCAGGTAACGGATTCTAGTCATGTATCGGTCGACCATCGTTCCTAAAGACTCCAGACTTTGCCTGCTGTCTTAGCTTGGCTGCTATCTTTACCTCGCATGGAAGCGGCGCCTTGTTTCTGTGTCAAAATAGAGGCACGAGGCTGGCTGATATTGTCGTTGTTCACGGTGGGGAAGGACGGGGAAAAGCCGCTCAAAGTCATAAAAATAGCAAATTCTTGAGCAGTCTGATAGTTACCGGCCTATTAATACGAAAGTCGTCCCTCGGTCTGGGCGCGGGAGCCAAACATCTCTCCATCGCGCCGCTTTCTGCCAAGTATCGAGGATCAATGTTCGCGGATACTATATGTAGGTACTCTGTCGGTTCTTCATCCTTGCAATTGAGACTCAAATCTGACTCTTGGTATGCTTCTAGCTCTGGATCGCAGGCTGACCGTCTGCCTTCGCGTTGAGCTTCCCGTAATCCATGCCGTTATTGGTTGAGGTTGTGACAGACCGGGGAAGCAGCTCCCTTCTCCCCGCTCAAGTCTGGGTCAATGTTGCCCGAGACAGAGGAAGGGCGCCTTTGTCGCAGGAGTATCAGAGTAATGTCAAATTGAATTCAGTCGAAACAGTCAAAGTAGCTGGACAGCCACCGTGTCAGACTCGGACTGAAAAGTATACTCGTCAATTCCTCTGCTATTGGAATGGCAGCAGCACAACCGCTCACGTTTCAATGCAATGTCTTGTTCAAGCTTAGGTCACTGTAGGCTACATAATATGTAGGTGCCTTGAGATAAGTGCCACGGTGCCAGATAGCACCGATAGGACTCTCCGGGCGTTGTACAGGTTTCTGCTGTAAGGTTGATAACAGTGCTATTTGTTGGATGTGTGTGCAAGCTGCTGGCGATCACTTAGGTGCATATCTAATGTCGTCGGGTAAGTAAATGGATAAGAGCTCCATAGAACATACTCTGGACAGTAAGAAGAGGTTAGCTGCCAAGCTTCAGAGGCTCGGTTTAGCATCGACATTGACCGCCGTGGCACTCCAGTGATGATAAGAAGCGAGATGAATGATATGGCGACGCTTTTTGGTCTTATCTGCATCATGGACGTGCGGTAGCCTCGGCGCTACATATGTACAGTAACCAGTACATGTCTAGTGATGGTTCTTGCTATCGCAACTAGATTATCTGCGGCCATTAGATCTTCTCTTACTCCGGGTTTAGCATGAGCCTTGTTTATCTTTAGCCCGGGTTGAAAAGGTGGCTGGATAAGTAAACGGTAGGATTTCGACGTGGCTTTCCTTGTGAGTACAGTAGCCTGTGCCAATGTGCTGATCCCCTGGCATCTGCCAAATCTTCAACCTGGCCAGGGGTCTCGCCGTCTCGTTGGAAGGGTGTCGACAATAGGGGTTGGGTATGGTTCGTCCGATCTGGGTGTTACGGTTCTCGGTATTTGGAACTACGCAGTGGATGCGAGATATGAAATCCTTGAGGATGGCTTGATCGACGCCCGGTGGTGATCAATGGCTTTCGAGATGACAGCTTCAGTACCTCGTAGGAACCGAGTACCCAGTACTTGGTTCAAATCTCTTGGAGCAAGCCGGAGGACGGAGTGGATACTTCGGGAATCAGGGCAGGACAAGGGTCGACAAAGAGGGCCGATTGGCGATGATTGGTGTGCCTGGCAGACATCTGTGTGCCCTTGGAGAAAATGCGGCAACCCGGCACAAGACTGCGAATGGCTTGCTGATCGACTCGAAAGGACCATCCTCATTTTCCGCACGCATAGATAGAGGGCGAGACTATTGAGCGGGAAGCAGAGAGCTTATTGAGGAATGCATAACAAGTATGGAAAAGAGAGGCTCCACGAAACGAGACGAGAAGCCGTGGCTGCGTGTGTGAGGAAAACTTCACCCGCGAATCCTTGAGTTGAGCAACCTGAGCGACGTGTTGTGTGTGTGTTGTGGCGGTCGCAATCGGCCACTTAGCTGCCCCAATGCTTGCCCAATGTCAACTTTTAGTTAAAGGCAGGCCCCCCGCCATGCCCTAATCTTAGCCAGCTGGATGCCAGCCATGCCCGTAATGCCTGTAATGCCCACTTTTATCAGCCACCCGTTGCAGCTAGCGAGTTCGATGCTTATCCGGCCACAGTTACTAGGCCCAACTGCGCCCTCCTGCGTACAAGTATCTCCGTACATCTGAAATGTTCTGCGTTTCTGTTATCATGTTGATGGGCTCCCTTTTCATCCGCTTGTGTCTACAAGTATAGGTACGGAGTACTTCAGCATACCTTGAACGTTGTCTCACTGCACTAGATCCATCCGTATCGAATCATGATCATCAATATGACCTGCAGGGTCTATTCGTCCTCACCCGCTTGACCCGTGTAGGGGTCCGTGTCCCGACCATATACGACAAACAGACGGCACACCACCACTGCCACTTCCATCTGGCCCGTGATCTTGTTCCTGCTCCTTGCTCCTCCCTCCTGCACCGTTCGTCAGCATCCTCAAATGGCGTATGCCTCGGTCGCCCAGGCTGAGCATGAGGCCGTATATCGCGAGTCCGCCGCTACTGACTCCGTCCACCATCCTCCGCATTCCTACTCACCTTCCCGCTCTCCAATCCTGCCCGAAATCTCGAGTCCACCGCTGTCTCTCCCTCTATTCGATCAATTCTCCCGAGATGGCGATCTGTCGATGGCGTCTCAAGCGGGACCAAGTTCCGTAGGCGTTGGGTCTCTTCTTAAATCGCTGTCCTCCTCGCAGTCGTACCAAATGGTGGAAGAAGACGACTATGAGGAGCCAATGCCCAGCTATCCAGAACCTCTAGCACCACGATTAAAGATGAACGGTCTACCTTCTGCACAGAACACACCCGCATTCCAGAAAGAAGACCCTCCAATCAGGACCGCCTCAATCAGCCGGCACTTGCCTCTGAATCATCCAACCCCGGATTTGCAGTCGCTGCAAGGGGCGCTGGTCAAAAATGTGGAACGTCTGGAAGAAAGCGCTGAGCGTTTGAGCATGACCTCGAGCCTTGAGGACGGGTTGAACAAGATGAAGCAAGATCAAAAGCGCCTGGAGCGTCAGTCCTCAGCCCCAGCGACTCTGGACAACGCCTTTCGCCCCACGATCCAGAGACAATTCTCGACGGGTTCGTGGTCTAATTCAATCATTGGTGTCAACCAAACGGCCAGGCTAGGAGGATATTCTCCCTCAGGATACCACATTACATCTCCGACTGGGTCAATCCGCTCCGGACCGTGGCCACCCCAGCAGCAGCACATCGAACGACACTCTTCAAAAGGCAGTCGTCGAAGTCACGTTCTGCCACCCCTGGAAGGCCGGCCGCTGGAGTTCAGCCCCGATCGTCATGCCTCTATCTCCATCTACCCCGAAGACGAAGTAGCGCCCCGTGCGTCACCTCGAGAGTCCGAGGGCTCGATCCAGGAGGAGAGACCCACTACCTCTGCTTCCAACGACACATATCGTCAAGCACAGGCCGCGTTCAATGACTTCGATGGAGTACACTACGGCAGCGCGCCCCTGTCCCACGAAGGAGCTGCCTCTATATCGCGTCGTATTTCTCTGAACCACCCGCCGCTTGCACGAGATTCCAAGGCTTATAAAGAACCTCAACCAGGAGAACGAATGATCTACTATCCTGCTCCGGTTCCGGTCATGTTGAATCTGCCTCCGAGACTGTCAAAGTTCAACATCAGTGAACGAGACAAACGTCGACTCCAGGCTCTCAGCGGCATCCCAGACGACGTGCGCAAGTCGGCGATTTGGCTTGGAGAACAAGACACCGCCAAGTTGCAGGGCCAAAGTAATCCACTCAAATTACCTCCACAGCTGCGGGCCAGCGCTTTCTTCGAGCAACCCAGTGTCACTCAAGACTTACAGCTCAAGAACGGCTCAGCTGTCCAGACGTTGGACAGCATCCTAGATGCCGCTGCACACGCTCCCGTCTCAGCGTTCACTGATCATCCAATTGCGGGCCATCTTGGGAAGGAAGTCTATGGCCCAGACGCCTCTCCGCGGAAGAGTATGCAATTGGCCGAAGGAAAGGCGAAGAAACGACGAAGTTCTCTTAGTACGATGCTCAAGACGAGAAGATCGAGCACTGCCCTCTCAGGCTCGGGCCTGGTGCGCTCAAAGTCAAGAGGCTCCCAAAATCTGGATGGCGCCGACCAACCCAGTGGAGATGAACTTGACCGAGCAGCGGCGCAGTCGATATCACCGGATGCTGACGAAATATCTGATGAAGAGGAGGACAAGGATGTCGTACCGCCAGGGTTTTCGACGGCGCCCACGACCTTACTTGCTGAATTACAGATGCGGAAAGAACAACAGAGACTACGCAATCGCACTGCAGCAGACGCTTTTCCCAATGGCATGCACTCGACCCTGCTCGAGCTTGACGCTGTTACTCAGCTTCAGCAGAGAGCCCGAAAGACCAAACATGTCACTTTGGCCTGGGAAGACCACGATGAAGCAAATAAACAAAACTTCGACGACGAGGATGTCCCTCTCGGTGTCCTCTTCCCAGAAAAAGATAGAGCAGACCATGCGAACGCTCATAGACCGATCGGGCTCCTAGAGAAGCGGGAGTTGGAAGACAACGAGCCCTTGAGTCATCGGCGAGCAAGATTGCGAGGCGGGCCGCTTCAGACTGCAAAATCCGAGGCAAAAGGTCAGATCGAAGAGGAAAGCCGACCTCCCGTCATCGAGGATGTGCCCGGCCTCTCCCAAGAACCTCTGCCCGAGGATGAGAACGAGACATTAGCTCAAAGGGCTGCAAGGATAAAGCTGGAGAAAGAGAAGGGCACTGGAGGCCAATTTACAGAAGAGTTGACCTCTCAATTAGGCCTCAACCTCGAGAGCGATGTATTACCGCCGCCGTCAAAGACACCAGATGTGGAGGAGACATTAGCTCAGAGGCGAAAGAGGTTGAAGGAGGAAGCATCCACCAATCCACATACCAATCAGCAGCTCAAACCCATGCACAGTCTGGCCGACTTACTCCAAGCTCATCCAGTGGGTACACAGCCCAAACCAGCGCTGCCTCGGACGAACTCGAATTACGCGACCCACAACGCACATTGGGGTTATTCTCAGCAAAACAACGTCTTCAATGCTTCTTATGGCTATCCGAACAATGTCGGGTACATGAACAGAGGACTCGGCGCCACATTACCGAGCTATATGCAACAAACATATCCTTACGCCTATAGCAACCAGCCATATATACCAGACCCGATGTCGGGTCCGCCTTTGGATCCCAAACAGCGAGCGCAGATTGATCGCTGGCGGCAGAGTATTGTACAGTGATGGGATAGGTCTGGCGTATTGATTGTGTCATCTACTGTGTTCTTCCCTTGTTGGGTACTATCCCACTAAGAGTTGGAAGCGGCAGGTGTACAGAGCCCTCTCTGGAGCCTCCAATCACTTGGATGGAATAATGAAGACAATGTATGAATAGCATGAGCAAAATACGACTGGAGTGTTGTTAAGGGGTATCGGCACAATACGGGACGGGCAAGAGGTAGAGATTTGTTGTCAGGGTGAGATCTGCACCGTCTAACTTCACCAACCAACGAAGGATACTGTACCTTTGTAATTATGACTTGAGTCGATTGTCTTGGTGGATACTGCGACCCTTCCTCGCCTTGTTCAGAGCCTTGCACGTGATAAATCTCAGTGGGGTTTGTTGCCGTGGCAGCCGCAACTGGGTAAACAAAGCGGGTGCGATTTCACCGCGGACAGGTCGTGAGGCCAGGCCAACTCCACGTCCATGCCTTAGCCATGGATCATCCTGCTGCCCGTGCCCCAACATCATTCCTGTTTCTGTAGAAGTGATGAGCTCTATCTGACTAGGCACCGCGCCCAAATATATTTGTTCCATCCAACCACTATGGCGCCATCCGTCCATCAGGTCGCCCAGATCTTCGAAGATCCGGAACCTCAACAGAGAGGCCGAAGAGCGAACCACAATCGAGGTCCTTCCGTGGGAGACGTACTAAGAGGACGTCGGAAGGACAATTGTAGTCCTACAAAGTCACAAACCCCGTCCAGTCGCGAAAATGCAAGTTCTGCCAGTCCACTGGGAGAGCGTCATATCAACAGCCCACCTCAACCGAAACGCGTTGCAACCAAACGAGGCGATGAGCCCGCTCGCCCTGCTGGTCCCCGCAATCACAAAAAGACTGGGAGCTCTGTTTCGCTGAAAGGAATTATCTTGGGCAAAGAGAAGAGTGCATGCAACGGTAGTGTTTCCTCTGGCGAAGGGCGGACGGTCGACAGCAAGCTTAAGAAGGTCAAATCAGCCGGTAACCTGTCCGGACTACTGAAACGGAGATCGAAAAAGGATCTCAGGGAAGAAGACAATAATAATAATAATAACAATAACAACAACAACAACAACCAAGAAAATTGCCCTCCAAAGACAACACCCGTCGAGAGTCCCACCTCCGTTTGGGCACAGTTTGCTACTCAACCCCTAGAGGCTGCAGATGGCACGATGATTTACCCAATGTCGAAGAGAAGAACCGTTGAAGAGGAGATAAAACTATACACCCCCAAAGACTACTCGGAATTCCGGCCTGCCGAACAGAGGAACTTTTATGGTTACGCGCCCGAGACGCCATCAATGCTGGACTACCAGCCACCTCAGCGGCCATTCTTGGAGCACAAATCTAGCAGAAGCTCCATCTTCACGGAGAACATTGACGATGATGTTGAGGAAGGATTCAAGCGGCCAAAGAGTCGAGACCAGCCCACTAGTCGCCCGGCCTCCTCTTCCCAGGTCGATGCCCATCTTGATGCGCAAGTTCAACCTGCAAACTCATTTCAAGCAGATCCTAAAACCAAATTAGGCTCGAGAGTCTTCGAAGCAATCCAAGCCTTCAACATGAGAGCCCGCAAGGACGCCCGCTCGGTCCCAGAGACCCTGAGTACCGCGACTTCCCCTCTGAGTCCTCAAGAACTAGACTCAGCCTTCGAGAAGGTGCTAGATTCCCTGAACATCCCCCTCAACATGCGGGGCAATATGCGAAACCTCAAGCCTGATGTGAAGGCAGGCCTGATGAAGGGTGAGCGTATTGGCAGTGGCTCATCCACGGCGTCAGCCTTAACTGATAGCCAGGAGGCCAGCTCAGCAGCCAGGAACTCTCACAGGAAGGAGAATGAGAGACCGAAGAGTGAGGGTGAGGGGGCCAAGGAGGCCAAGGATGGCAGACGATCCAGGTCGCGATCCCGCCCGAGAAGTCGTATCCTGACTTTGACCAGACGGGAGGAAGACTCTCCCACCAAGCAAGACAGACCAAGTTCATCCCTGAGATCACGCAGCAAATCCAGGAACAAATCTGCCGACTTGACCGGCTCCAGACCGACCTTGGCGAAAGCCATGGCCTCGACAGCATCGCTAGCATCCCTCAACCCGGCAGAGAGCGCCACCACTCCAGGCGATTTCATTCACTACCTTCGGGAAGTGCAGAAGCCCGCACTAGTCGAAGTGAGCAAACTGCACAAACTGAGGATTCTCTTGAGGAATGAATCAATCTCTTGGACCGATCACTTCGTGAGCAAGGGCGGCATGGACGAACTAGTCCAACTGTACTACCGCATTTCAAAGATCGAGTGGCGAGAAGAACATGAAGACAACCTCCTTCACGAGACGTTGTTATGCCTGAAAGGGCTATGTACGACCTCGCTTGCTTTACAACGTCTGCAGCAAGTGGAGCATGAGTTCTTCCCTGTTCTCTTGCGTATGTTATTTGACCCCGAGAGAAAGGGTCCATCAGAGTTCAACACAAGAGGAGTCATAATATCACTTCTGTTCGCTCATTTGTCAGCAGACGTCGGCTCTAATCATGAGCTTGTTCATGCCCGAGCACAGACAATCCTTGGGTTCCTCAGGGATCCTGCACCGGAAGATGGCAAGCAGCCGCTTGACTTTGTCTCACAAATGCATACTCCTCGTCCTTACCGAGTCTGGTGCAAAGAAGTTGTTAATGTCACGAAGGAAGTGTTTTGGATATTTTTGCATCATCTCAACGTTATCCCCATTGTTGAGGTTGATGAGTCGGTGGGATATTGTCAAGCACACTTCCCGCCTCCTCGACCACCCCACCCAGCAGCTCCGTACGTGGGAGGAGTTGAATGGGAAGCGACGCAGTACCTCGCGACCCACCTGGACCTGTTGAATGGGCTGATTGCCTGCCTGCCCACCGTGAAAGACCGTAATGCGTTGCGGGAGGAGCTCAAACAATCCGGATTCGAAAAAGTCATGGGGGGCAGCCTTCGAACATGCAAAGAAAAATTCTACTCCGGCGTTCACGAGGGTTTGAAATGTTGGGTTGCAGCGGCCAAAGCAGACGAGTGGCCGGTGGAAGATGTCAGAGCAGGGCCACCAAGGGAAACGGCAAGCCCCAAAAAGAGCCCAGTGAAGAAAACAACCGACGAACCTCCACAACTAGCATTGAATGTGGGCGCTGGCCACGGTCAGGCAATAACAGTCGACGACGGGTGGATTTGAAGTTCTGACGCCATGGCGGAGCATGGAAAGAAGGTTAAACGGACTCTGTTCGACGACGAGTTGATTAGACTGTTGGAAAGGGAAGAGGTTCATGACCTTGACGATTGTTACTGTCCTTGCAAAGATCGGTCACTCTTAGTGAGTAAAGTGAAGTTATGAATGATTTTAGCCATAGGAGTAATGGGCTTGGTCCGGAATACAATGTGTTTTCTCAGTTCACGAAACTATTACGGAAGCCTTGGGAAGCCTACTGCAAAGAATGAGGGGTAGCCTTACCCCTGGCGAGGCTGAAATATCATACGAGGCTGAGTTCTGGGGCTGACTACCAAAACCTTGGAGCACGTGATGGCGGAAAAAAAGAGGAGAAACGTTGATCGGTGAATTGATGTCACCAACCACCGATTGGAGAATCCATCGAGCAGAAGAGGCACAAGGCACAAGGAGACTTGAGGGAGATGCGCGCAACGCTGGCTGCGCTCCCATTCTCCACCACCCACCCTCATCCTCATTCACCAGCTCTTAGTTTTGTCTCTTTCGCGATGCCGTCGGCTTCCCTGAGCGTCTCCTTTGCGCTGTATTAATTCCTACTGTTTTCGTTCATCCGATGCTGTGACAGTTTGTTGGAACTTCTCGTCAGGCCATCGTCGCTGATCGCCCACCTCGCAGCTCTTGTCTTCGTCCTTCCACCTTCTCACCATCGGATATCCTTATGTCCACAACAACAATGACTACCACTACCACGCTGGGCACCTCCAACTTGCGAGGTGGACCATCTCGCTTGACTCGAATCAACCCTGCTAGAGCCTCGAAGGGCCTGGGATCGACCCTCTTGCGCCAGAACTCACTTGTCTCCAACAGTGGTCTTGCTCTGGCATCCTCCTCCAACGCCGTCGCCTCACAGACCCAGAATAACAATGACCCGCCGGGCATGTACCCCGCCATTACTCAGTTCGCCGATGCGATTGCCGCTTTGCCTCGAGAATACCGTCGTCACACTTCTTTGTTGAAGGAAGTCGACGCAAAAGCGTGGGGTCCCGAGGGAAATCTACAAGACATCTTGGAGCGGTGTTTGACCGACAGTGCGACTGCTACGAGAAATCTAGCTGCTGCTTCTCAGAACCTAACTGGCTCCGTGGCGGCAGATGATGCTCTCAATCTCAGCGAAGCGAATAGCGTCGCCGGTGCCTCGGTTGACAACGCCTCCCTCGCCTCTGCCCGCTCTGCCGACCCTATCATCATGCAGCGAAGACAACAATATCACGCCTTAAGACAAAATCTCATGGCGATCATGGTCACCATGGATGAAAAGAACCATGTCATCAACAATGCCAATGAAGAGGTGGCGAGGCACATTCGCAGATTGGATCGCATCTGGCCTCATATCGCCGAGGAGATCTCGGAGGAAGCCAGGTTGGGAAGCCTGAAACATTGGGCTTATACCGAGACGAATCCCGTAAAGAAGCCTACTGCGCCTACTACCCGCAGAGAGGCTGCGGCTGCGGGTCTAGCTACTCTGCATGAGAGCGAAGTCGCGCATCGGAGTGAAGCTAGAAGAGAGGCGCTCCTTGCCAGGAGGCAGCGGGTGGCGGCGCATCATGCAGATTCCGACTTCGACGACTCGAGACCCCCCCCACGCAAAACCACCACCGGCGGTAAGAAGCGGGTGGCTGAGGCTGCCCCAGATCCCACTGGCCTGGGCATCTCCGGCGCAGGCACAGGGAAGAGGAAGAGACCCGAAAAACCGGCAGTCGCGGGTGTGGCTATGGAACGTTCGATCAGTAGTGTGCTCGGAGGC